TCAAGGTTTATCCTGTTTATAAAGGTAAATATATATTATTTATACATTATTAGGTAAATATACTATTATTTATTATAGATATATTTACTATAGAAATAGATCTCAACTAAATCACGCCTTTATATCGTAATAATGTATATTCACAAAAAATACAATTAGAAAATAATTATGTGGTTACAAAGTTAAGTTTTATTGGGTTTAGAATAATATTAATGATACTAATATATGTTTCAAATATGATTTTGTTTCTTATTTATCATTAGACCCCATTCTCGGAGGTGTTATTTGGTAACTGGTCGTTTTTAGAAATGGGTAAGAATAACATAAATTAATAATTAATTTGTACTTATATGAAACTACTTATAAGTAGTTTAATAATCAATTATAATATTGATATTACAAATATTTTTACCCTAAATACGTCTAGCTACCGAATTGCGCCTTCGGTTTACTTATCACCGAGTCCGTTGGTTTGCCTTTGCCGTCACTGAACCGACGTACCGCGCGGATTTTAATAACTAACAGAACTAGCGTTCATTATGGTGCATTATGTTGGACTAAAGATCACCGGCAAGTCTCTTTATGAAATCGACCAGATAGCGGATACGACGGTAGTGGTGCACAAACGCCCATACCTCGAAAACACTAATACGTACTCTGCTAATACTGTTTTGAAGTAATGAAATCCAGAATCTGAGTATTTACTCTTCAAAATTAAATATCTCTGCAGGCTTACATGTTTGTTTTCGATCAATAGTTATTAAGATTCTGGATATCTATTTATTAATATTTCGTCTCTAAATATAAGACTAGAATATTCGATTGGAGTAGTCAGAATGTTAAAACACTTTGTGGTTACAAAGTGTTTTAATTTACATTTTATTGTATATTTTACTGGGAGTATATTATGATCAGAATTTTATATTTTAATATTATTATAAATATTATTATATATTGCATTCTGATTTTTTTCAATTAAAATAGTCGTCATATGACCGCAAGACTAAAAATAAGGTACATTTATAGAATAACAAAATGACTATATAAAAAACTAAATAAATAAATCAGTAAAATCAAATGAAAATTAACTAAGTGTAATAGACATATTTTTTTAAATAAGTTAAAAGCAATTGTCAAAAATTCTTACCAGAGTATTTAATTGGCAATGTATCATCTCGTAATTTTATTATTATTTAAAGTTCGATTCAAACAACTTTCCCTAAAATGAAGTGAGCAGATAAAAGTAACTTTTTCATTACATTTAATATTTTCTGCTTCTATGTAACTCGGCCATTTTCCTCTTTTGTTTCATCTTTTAGTAATCTAAAATAATTAATATATTTTTAAATATTAAAATTATCGATATAAACCATATGTTAAAGTAACGACACTAACCATGTAAACAATATTATTTACGGACCGAAATATTATAAAAATATAAACGAAAAGAGCAATATAGCATAAATAGAACACGCCAAAATACGATATGTATCGATTTATACATGCAAACATTTTCAGAATAACTTACTTACGTTTTAAATACTGTTATTTTAAGAAAGTGTTTAACTTACCGGTGAAACGTAATATTGCTCGGTTTGCGGGATATTGATGACGCACAACCAATTATACAGCACCTAGGCATTATTTTGCATAAATAATTTACAATTTTCTGCCATGAAAGTTATATAAATAAAAGTTATAAATGAAAATAACCACAAAACTTATAACACTGACAGCTGAACTACTTCCGAGAATACGCAAAGCAAATTTGCAAATGGCTGACAGGTGGTACGATAGCTATATCTCATGACGTCACGTAAAAAATTTTGAACTGTCACACTAGTGTTATCTTTGTTTACTAAAGAAACTTCTTATTAGTTAAAAAAAGACAACATGATGTTTTTGATTCAACTTCAGATTGCATGATATTTATATAACCATAGAAAATATTTCCATTCTACCTTAGGCGCCTATTACACTACCCAATCTATCGGGCACGATATATCGGCCGCGATTTAGGGCGGTTGGTGTCGTTGTGATTACACTGCACTAGATCGCCTCCCTAACTCAGTTGGCATGCAAACGTGGCGTTGAAAGGATGGCTCCTCCGCTCACAAAGTACCAAAAAATTGGCATAGCCCATACTTTAACTGCAGGCGTAAATAATAAAACAAAATGTTGGGTGAAAAATATTTGCTTCTAAGAGACCAACTAAGTTCAAACTGAACTTTGAACTGAAAGAGTTCTGCACAATTTGATCATATATTAAACTTAGTCATACCTTAAATAGCGCAAAACAGCGGTTAGCTGTGCTGTAACCTTAAAATTTTTAGCAACGGGAAATGCATATCATGACTTAAAGTATAAATACTCAATAAGTTTATTGTTTCCATAAGTAATTTGAAATAATATTACATAATTAAGTTAGTCTCACTATGGACCCTATCGGGCACAACAATAATATAAAGTTTATTATAGCATTAGTTTTTATTATTGTAATTTATATAAAATTATAATTGTACCAGACACATGCAAAGGCTATCTAGAAATGTTTAAAACATTATATCATATTGATATACATATATATAAGAAAAAGTAATAATATTAAATTACACTTAATATTATTTCTTTTCCTTTTGAGAAGACATTTTCGTCTGTTCGCAAATTTCGTTGTCGTTCACTGACGTCTCACACGCACGCTGCGCAACAACCGACTGAGCGCTCTAACACCCTAACAGCGATCACATTACCCGATAAATCGGCCCTAACTCTCATCGGGCGATCGGGCGCCCACGTTCACCCGATATCGGGACCCTAAGGGCGCTTGTGCACTACACTGAATTTTCATGTCCGGCGGTCCGATTTTTTCAGGTCCGATATGTCAGGCCATATGTAGGTAATGCGCGCTTGTGCACTGTCAGGAATTTTACCGTCCGGAATTTTACTTTTCTCTGTTCCGGACCGGTTTTTTCAGGTCCGTGATGGCGGCAATGAAAAACGTGTTTACGCTTGTGCACTGCTGTGTCCGAGATCCGGAAAATTCATAAGGAATAGGCTTGGGAAAAAATAATCGATTTGAATCGATATTTATTTCGGCAATATTGTTAATTTCCAATAAACTTATAATCGATATTTATTGTTGATTATAAAATGATATATTTTATATGATGATTTAATATAGTTGGTATATATCACTGCATATGCTTTGGGAAACTCGGTATAGTTCTAATTTGATCAGCATATGGTTCTAGTATCGATACTTAGCTAGATTTTAGAATCGTATTAAAAGTATCGATAGCTTAAGTAAGATAAATAAGTGTTGTTACGTTTAGACAACTGAACCCATCTAAATGGAAATTAATATAGTAAATAGACTTAACTTTAAGAAAGGACATAGGCTACATTTTATTGCGAAAAATAGGGGATGAAAGTTTGCCTGGAAATTTGTCATTATCATTTTTTTTTTAAACAATTGATAAGTATAGATAAATATTTGACAACAGAAGTAATAATAAAGAATAAACAGAAGATTAACAAAAGTAATTAAGTGACACTCAATGTCTTTTTCGCATTTAATAAAATTTTAAATGTATTTTTGTGTCATTAATAAATTTAAAAAAAATAAGTATTCTAAGGGAATAATATTTCTGCTCAAAGAAACTACACCACGCGTATAAAATTATGCCTATATATAATACAGTCAACTGATCTCGTAAAGTTCATTTAGCATAATAATTCTCCGCTAACACGGCACAAATTTCGATTTGTTTACGAAATGGCGCCACCGATTGGTCTATCTCTGTAATCGCTGAAAGTTGTTTTTACAAAACTTCGAAAAAAAATAGCACATTTAAAAATTTAAACATCAAGTACTAGACCATTATCAGTAATTTTATTCTAATGTCAGATATTTTTAGCTATTGTATGTGAATAATGCTGTTCCTAAATTAGTAAGGGTATAAGTTTTTACATCTGATAGTAGTCATCCGATAGTAGTAAAAAAAATGCTTTCGTCTTGCCATAATTTATTATGGTTTATGTTAAACGATCAGATCATTATTTAGGTACCTTTCTACGTCTTCGAACGGAATTACCAACGTTCCAAAAATCTCATCGTACCTAGCGTAAGTGACGTGTAGCTTCAAAGAGAGCTGCCCGCCCACTGCGCCGCTCCGATCAGGAAAAAAACGGACAAGTGCACAAGCTACTCATCCGAGTTTTTCATGTCATTCCGGACCGGAAAAAATCGGACCGCCGGACCTGAAAATTCAGTGTAGTGCACAAGCGCCCTAACTCTCTAACTGCGATTAGACTACCCAATTTACAGTGTACCCGATGGATCGGGCCCGATAGATTGGGTAGTGTAATAGGCGCCTTACTCTATGCACTGCAAGAATAAGGTACCTATGTGAAAGTGGCAGAATTTGGCAGGTTTAAAAAAACTTCATATTTTTTTAAATACATTTTAATTATTTATTTTCATTTTAAATACTTATGATTTTGAATGCCTTATTATAATTTATTTTATTTTTAATAATAATTTATGATAGGTAAATTATATACCCAATAAGGTGGCAACTTTTGTCGCATGATAAGTAACACGGGAAATTCCAATAAAATAATCTTCAAAGAGTTGATGACTAGTTTCGATTTTGTTTCTGGGGAGCAATTAGGAACATGAAGTCCAAAATATCTCAATACAGACAGTTAAGTGACTGACATAATATTATTTAAGTTTATAGAAAACAGCGTTGAAAAAATTAAATTTTTTGTTTTGTAAATTGTTCTTTAAGTGAGTTTTTTCTGTTAATTAGTTAGATTTTTTTGTATGGGCTGACGGACTTGCTTACATGGTCAGAATAAATAAAAAAATGACGTTATATGACAGAAGTGACAGATAATATATGGGGTGATTTTTGTCTTTGGGTGGGAGAAGGGAGTGATATGAATGGCAGGAAAAATCATGTATGAAAAGGTTGATGCGATTTTAGTAGTTTTTAATTCAAATGAAATCTATCTATAACGGACTTCAGCGAGGTGCTGCGTCATAATACATTAGTTTATCTCGTTCAAGATAATCTCTGGGTAATGATACGATGAGGTTATAATTCAGTCGCTAATTAGTATAGGTCGATAGCTTTATTCTGGTAAAATTTACACTTTGCGACTGTAAAATTATTTCTACGAAGTTAAATTTACAACTATCGCATTGCTTGTTTAGTGAACATGTCAGTGTCTATCGTTAATAATGTTGTATATGGACCCGAGGAGGAGTTTATACCGGCACATTTATCATTCGGACAATACATGTTTGATCAACTCAAGAAAGGTGGAGACAATATTGCTTTGGTAAGGATCTTTAAACATTGTTGACAATAAAAATATTTAATAGTCTACAACAAATTTTGACCAATTAACTTAAAAGTCATATGTAGTAATCAAGTTCAAATTAGATTACAGAAACTTAGATTGCAACTTAATTTGCTGTTGTATATTCTTTTAAAAATAAGTAATAATTAAAATAAAATATACCTACCATAACCTAAAAAATATTTGTTTCAGGTATCTGCTGAAACAGAAGAAACCATTACATATAAAAAATTATTAAAGCAAAGTGTTGACTTAGCTGTTGCTCTTAAAAAACTAGGTTTAAAGAAAAACGATGTTGTCGGGATCAGCTCAGAGAATAGGTTTGAGTTCATGGTCACAGTACTTGCTGTAGTTTATTGTGGTGGACAACTTTGTCTTCTCAATGTCACTTATACACCAGGTAAGTTTGAATCATATGGGAATTAATGAAATTCCATATGCAATGTCACATCATTCAGAATGAAAGAAAATATCTATATTTCTAACAGAATCTAATTTATCTAGCTATCCTAAAAGAAAAAAAGAGAGTACTGAAACCTCTTCAAATTTATTCTATTCAGAATGGAAGATGAAGATAAAAACTTATCAGCTTTATCACTACATAGTAATGCTGTTTATATAAATGATTCATGTTATTACTAAATCAATGCCAATGTTAAGAAAATGAACATAATATATAGATTAAGTAATTATTTATAAGAACAGTTAATTTGTGCTATGCAATATTTTTTTTTTAATTATCAATCCAAACAATTCACTTAAACTATGATTAAATAGCATTAAAAAACATATACAGTGCAATAAATAAACAAGGTTTGACGTCTAGAGTAACTTTATACTAAAATAGCAATTTTAGTATTAATCCAAATTCATATTATATAGACAATAAGCAAACCTACTACCTTCTAGGAGTAAATATTACGCCCACAGAACCTCACACTAGGTTAACCTTTGCTGAGTCTCTGTTTAGTATTATAAATTTTTCACTAACACTAAGTGCAGTCTCAGCATAAATTAACTCCAACATTAAACTTTGTTTATTAATAACACTGCTAAAGTGTGCCCACAGCACTAAGTGTGTTTCGCAAATAGTAAATGTTTGGATGACTTTTTTAACGTACTACTGTTGCTGTTAAAAAAATAATTGTAATAGTAATTTGGATTCATTTGATGTCAGGATGTTTTTGTCTAATTTCTGCAAAGCAATTCCATAAAAATCCGAACATGAATTGGAATTCAATTATATGCCCAAATTCACATCATTTAGTGTAGTAGCAAGTCTATTGATGCGATTTTGTGTATAAAAATACAAAACAAGATTTATCTATTCATACATATCTCAGATATTCTAATCCTATGTAATTTCAAAACTTACTTCACTTATGCCACTAAACGTAAATACTGATTACCAATTCAATGTTAAGCAGATGTCGCTTTCAAAATGAATTGGGACACCCGGGTGAATTTAATTTGGGTTCAGATTTTTATGGAATCACAGGGCTAATCTAAAAGTATACACAATTTTTTTTTATTACTTATAACCTCTAATTGATATTCTTTTTTACAGAGGAGGTGACTCATTTATTGCATATGGCTAAACCAAAATACATATTTGTTTCACCCATTGCTGCCCAAAATATTTATGATGCATGCCAAACTGCAAAGTTTGTAGAAAAACTTATTATGTATGGAGAATACAATGTAGTACCATCAATAATGTACAAAAGTTTAGTAAAAGAGCATGTCAATGCAGATGAATTTGTTTTAGAAAATGTGAATGGTAAAGAAGACACACTTGCTATAATGCTCTCTTCCGGCACAACAGGCTTGCCCAAAGGTGTTATGCTCACACATGTAAATATCCTCACATCAATAGCTCATATGAAGTAAGTTAAACAATCCATTTTGCAAGGGAAGAAATTAAAAATAAAATAGCTATATGGTCAGACTATTTAGACATGGTAAAAGATATTTATAGAGTTAAAATACCCTACTATTAAACTTTAATAACTTCATCTATATGTGCTTATAAAATTCAAAAAGTTTTGTAATTAATATGTTTTGGACCAATTTTAAAATTTCTTTTACCAATATGATTTTATATTATTATTTTGTTGTGTTTTATGCAGGATCAGTTAGTTAGTATTATATGGAAAAAAATTATGTAAATATAATTTTTAATTAATTTCAGGTACTATTTTACTACATCAATGAACATCTACAAACATCAAATTAAGAACTCAATGACATTAATACCATGGTTCCATGCCTATGGTTTTATTACTACCTTCACAATGATGGCTGAGCATCTCACAACAGTATTTTTAATTCGTTTTGATCCACAACAATATTTGGAAACAATTCAAAAGTATAAGGTATTTTTAAATATTAGAAAAATATATATATTATGTAACACACAAGTAATGCACCACCCTTGGAATAGTGCCATAAGTCATAAAACCAATATTTTGGGAATAAGGCATTTTCTTCACTTGATAGGCCTTAATTAATCAAATAAAATGGGATTTGAACATAATAATGTCAGCGAGTTAGAATAATTATTGTTTTAAACTCCATAATGATTTTCATTTTGAAATTGTTGCATTCTAAAAATAATGGAAAAATACATGTATAATGACAGATATGTTTATGAAAAATTGGAATAAATATGTTGTATAATTGGTGTTATATACAATGAAAACTTAAATTTACTATACTAATCTGAGTTAAAAAGTCAAAGAAATTTACTTACTTGGATTACCAAAAACTAATATTATTTCCAAAATCTGATCACATCAACAGCAGAGTAGATATAAATAGTATAAATTGAGAAACATTAACACCTAAAAAAAATAATTAAAACATTAACATTTAGAATAAATTAATTATCTATCTATCTACCTATAACTATTACTCTGATTTGCCTCGCGTAAGTCGCATCGCAAGATGTTACTGTTCAACTTAGGCACAGTCCAATTTTCTGTAAAGATTTTAATCATATTAGTGCTTCTAAGTTTAAAATACGTTAATGTATTGTGATAAAAATGATACATAAGATTTTTTAGATACCACTATTATATTATTATTAGTGTATATTAACACTATTTGAACAGTGTTGCTATAATACACAGACAAACACACCCTAGCTTCCCTGAGATAAGCTAATTTTGAAATAAATTCATACCAATACAATACACATAAATGTAATATTGTGGAGAGTTTAAGAAAAAATATATGAGAGCTAAATGCGATATTATAATATTTGCCTTGGTTGTTGATTTCAACGACAAAAGAAGTGAGATCTAAATTGGTGCCAAGTTCAATGGTCAGTCCTGAAATGTATTTCTCACATCATAAATGATTATATAACAATTTCAAATATCCTTTCATACAACTGCGCATACCCAAAGTATGCGTTCTGCGCAATCTCCATCCGATTTTAAGATGTTTGCCGAATACTATATGGATGAATAATAAAATTGGTGTTTCAGATAAATATGACTACAATCGTTCCACCTCTGGCAGTGTTTCTTGCTAAAGACCCTCTTGTTTTACAATACGACCTTAGTTCGCTGAATGAAGTTTGGTGTGGTGCCGCACCTTTGTCGAAAAACATACAAAAAGCTATTTCCGAAAGGTATGGAGCATTCAAGTAAAACTCTGAACCAAAGTATTACAAATAAATATAATACTTTAGATTTAGTACCAGTAAAGGGAAAACATTAATAAAAACTGAAACAATCAAGGCATTATTAAATATCGATGTTTCAGGATTGGTTTGAAACGAATAAAAAATGGGTATGGTCTGACGGAGGTGACGATGGGGGTATGCGTGGACATCGCCAACCACGACAAGGAGGGCACGTGTGGCCATCCAGGCCCTGGGGTGTGCTTGAAGGTGACCACATATTCATTTAACTTTTGAAATAAAACCGCGCTGTTGTCCTCAGAAATTGTCAGAGTTCTAATAGAGTATATCATATCAAAAAGTCAAATAAACTATATTGGGGCATTGAAGTAATATTATAATGTTCATAATTTTTGTTTCTAATATGTAAGAATAGTAATAAGATAAGATATATATTAATACTTAAGGATTATCATTATTTTTTTATATCTAAAACTACCTATTATCATTATACGATAAACTATCGCCTTAGCAATTGAAACAACGAGTCTACAAGTTTGTTGTTTACAAAGTCGGATTAAAAATAATTTTCGTTTTAATGAATCGTCCATCAGGTTACAAAACTAAAATCACAATGTAAATTCACGAATGTAGTATTATTTATTCGTTCGTCCTTTAAAAAGGTGAATTTCCGATATAACTTTTCTGTTTTTGCATGATTTTTCATTGCTGCTCCACTCCTATAAATCACAGGGTGATGTTATAGGTTTAGCCTAATAGTCTTCCTTAATATGGAGTATTTAACACATAAATATATTTCCAATTCGAACCAGCAGTTTCTGAGATTAGCGTGTTCAATCGAACTAAATCTATAGCTTTATAAAATTATTAGTCGAGTTATATTTATATGTCATCATCATCATCATCAGTCCTTTTACGTCCCCAATGCAGGGGCTCAGGCCTTCCTTATAGATGGTTAAGGAAGATGGGCCATGACCCTCCACGCTGGCCCAATGCGGATTGGAGGGTATTAACGACTGCAAATGCAGCCGGGACCAACAACTTAACATGCCTTCCGAAGCACGGAGTAGCTCGAGATAATAATTTTTTGGTCACCCATCCCGTGACTGACCCTTGCGAAAGTTGCTTAACGACAACGATCGCGGGCCGCGGCGCTTATCCACTACGCTACTTATATTTATGTGTACATGTAAATAATTATTATTAACCGGTATTTTTGGAACTGTTAATTCCTGTATGTATGTAACATTTCCTAATACATTTTACTACAGGTGGTCGATATAGAGAGCCGCGAAAAACTAGGTCCCGGCAAAGAGGGAGAATTATGTGTTAAATCAGTACTGCGTATGAAGGGTTATGTGGGCGACGAAGCGGCCGGCGACGCGCTAGTCGACGATGATGGGTTCGTACGAACCGGCGATATAGGATACTATGATAGCGATGGATACGTGTATGTCGTAGATCGGCTCAAAGAACTCATTAAGTATAAGGGATTTCAGGTGAGAATCATTTAAATTTGTATTTTTCAATATAAGATAATGTTGATAAAAAAATAAGATTACCTTTTCTATAAACCGATTTTTAAATACAATTGACTGCACGGGTCAATGACGTAGTTTTCCTCATGAAACAATTTCCGACGTTGAGATGTTTTTTTTAAGTTAATATCTCTACGTTACTTATCCATGGCTCTGTCGAATGATATATATATATTCGACAGAGCCACGGACTGTAGAACGTAATTTTTTATATCTTGCTAGGTACAACATAATGTACCTGCTTTTCGTCTTATGAAATTTTCATTTTGATCCTTCGAACATATATTAAATTTGTGTATTCATTAGAAATCTTGCACAATTATTTTAAAACTTACACTAACATGAAGGAAAATGTTGATGACCGCCTCAGCAATTTCCGGTCGGATCATCGTAGAAAACAAACAAATATTAGATAACGTCACATTCCCAATTCCTAATTACTTCTCGAAATCTGTTAGGGAGTCCATCCATGATGTCTTGGATGTCTGACTGGGAATATTGTTTTATTCTTCTACTGCCGCAGTTTTTAGCTCCATGAACGTGGTGGAAGCTGGATTTCGTGCTCAAATTAGTTTTTTAAGTTATCCTAGACATGTGCGATAACAGTTAACTAATTGGCTAATTTGAAATCAATCGCGGTCCCTTTCAAAAGTAACGATTGTGATTTATAGAGCGTTTTATGGAATCGTATAACTTTTAAAGTTTCAATAACTTTTGGCACGAATGATGAATTGAATTATAGAAACAATAATAAAAACTTACTTTAACCAGTCGAAAGATTGCAAATAGCATTTGGTTTTCTCAATAGCTTTCAAACATATATGAAAGCTTGCCTTAAACAATTGGAATTGTTTAAGGCAAGCTTGACATCATAATATCTATAAAAAACGCTGCAATCGCTATCACGTGTATTACAAAAATGTGAAATCGAAAAGAATTGCAATAAATTTGAAAATTAGAAATTTAGCCGGCTAATTATATAATTAGCTAGAGTTAGGCGGTCGCACTACTGGATTGTAACCTAGACATGAGTAGTTCCGGACCTTAATAGTGCCAGGAATTATGTCCGGACACGGAACTATATCGGCCAATCAACGATACGAAAGAGATAGGACATGATCGAAGGAGTACGAGAGAGACAGCGAAATAAACACGAATGTGCTTTCTGTATGGATAAGATAATGTGATTTCAGATTTATACACTAAAATCGATAATCCATTAATATTTAGATTATTCTTTTTAACTTAATCTTGACACCTGCGTACACGATTAGAAATAATTAAATAATTCTGATGAATAAAAATATTATCGGATCACCCTGCGGTACCTTCTGTCTACAGTTTTCATATTTTTTTTCTGTAAAACTATCCATGTGTTTTGTATCTAATAGAATATGATATTAAAAAAATGTAATTTTTGCATATAAGCAGTTCATGAATTCACAATTTTGTCAAAATTTACTCACATAGATTTTTTACAATATAAATTATTGTTATTTTGCCATATAAATTTGGGGTGAACCACCCTTATCAATTAGAAGTATAAAAAGTAGATAACACCCTATTCTCATATCTGTAACTAAAACTATTAGATTTACTGCCATCTCAAAATAAAAGGCGTAACTCACACTCAATGTCTTTTGAATTTATATCATTATCCAAAATAAGAGAAAGGTAAAGAAATTGACACCTTTCATTTATTTCATTTTACATGTAGAATCTAACTAATATAATAACAGCAATCAAAACGCGCATATGAGCCATTTATAAAGGAAGAAATAAAAGTAGGACAAGACTTAATACATGTGAATATTACATAGCCCAGGAACTATACATACCGCGGCTTACGGCTCGCGGACACGTTAACGGAACCATGCCCGGAATGACAAGAAATCGTTCCATGTTCAATTCATTCCAGGACATGTGTTAAGCACATATCTATTGTGGACTAATCAAGGTCATGTTGCAACACCGACCACATGGGCGTAACGAGTGTCGATGGTTCTTTCGTAGTGATACGACTCGAGTCCTGTTTTTACTCGAGCCACTTGAGTGAAAAGAAAATTGAAATACAATTTTTCAAACTCATACTCGAGTGAAAAGAAAATTGAAATACATCTAAAATATATGATTATATCATTCATATAATAATTTCTCCATCTTCTGTCATGGCGTAATTATGACGTCACGCCAATCTAACCTGATCTAATATCGTTCTATGTATGCATATGTTTCAATTATCTAAGTTCTGATATGAGTAGAGAGGGTCGTGACGACACGCGCTGTTTGCAATCACGTGGCGACGTTGTTTTTTCATACTTAATTTAAACAACATTGTAAATACATACTAAGTATATAAGTGTGATTATCGGCAATAGTATTGTTCGGGGATGAGTATGAGTAGCGTAGGGGAGGTTAAAGTAAAAATAATGTTTGTATTGAACTTACTTTACTAAGTATCTATCAAAGTTTATAATGTTTACTAAGTCTATTAAATGTTAATTTTAATGATAAATGAGATAATTGTTAGAGAGAACATCCAACCTGTAACGGGGATCGAAATGTTCTACTGAAAAAACATATGTAACTACAGGCCGGCTGGCGGTGACCTACTTTTCGCCACGAGCCGCGCTTATATACCTAAACTACGTAAAATGCATATGATGCAGTGTTCGGTCATTAATCGAACAAGTATATTAAACACTACCAGAAAAAAACTTTTTCTGTATTTATTTTCGTTTACTGTTTACACCGGTATCGCGTTTCGCATTCGCATCATTATGGTTGGTATTGGTTCTCGTTAGGTGGCGCCTGCTGAGCTGGAGGCGTTGTTGTTGCGTCACGCAGGCGTGGCGGACTGCGGCGTGGTGGGCGCGCCGGACGCGGCGGCGGGGGAGCTGCCCACCGCCTTCGTGGTGCTGCAGCCCGGCGCGCAACTCACGCCCGAACAACTCGTGCAATACGTCGCCGCCAAGGTACGTGCCGCCAACACAAACTACACTCACTCATTCGGTCCTGCGTAGAGGTCCCGAAATCGAATTCACTCAGGTCACCCGCACACCCGCGTAGTTTATACTATGTATTCGTTTCCATTATTTGTGTAAAAATACAAAAAAAAATAGGTCTATTCATACGTATCTCAGATATTCTAATCTTGTCATTTCGAAATTCACATCACTTATGCCACGAAACGTTAATACCGTTTAACAATTCAAGGTTAAGCGGATGTCGTTTTCGAAGTGAATTCGAATTCGGTTCTAATTTTTACGGAATTGCTCAGCAGTTCTCGCTTTTATATCTCTCCTACTAACTGGAACCAGTCTGAACCTGCTACTTTCCTATTCTACTTTTCATTCTTTAATTTCTCTCTGGGTATGGAACTAACCACCATGTGGTGGCAGGTTCCTTGCTTCACGCGTAGTACAGCGAACGCAAGAGGGGTTTTGTCTACTCCTAATATGACTTTTCGGGATACGCCCATATGATATCTCATTCGCGGCTGGAGGAAAATGACGTTTGATGCAGACAAAGCGTTTCTCGAGTTTGTCATGGTAAACGTGCTGAATCCCGGATCCTTCACCCCATTTCCACCCATCGTAACAAAGCTCTTGCCCATTATTACCTAACTATTTTTATGTTAAATTTCAGGTGTCACCTACAAAGCATCTTAGGGGTGGCGTACATTTCATAGACGAAATACCGAAAAATCCATCGGGAAAGATCCTGAGACGTGAACTAAAGAAATTAGTACAAAAACCAAAAAGCAAACTTTAAACCAAAGTTTAGATTAATTTATTATTATGTTGTTGATTTTATTTGTTTCCATTTGACATTTTTTTATTGTTGACATTTTTGGAAGGTTTTTATTATGTATAAAAGTTTACAATGAGTAAACATAGCACTAAGTTTTGTTTCCTGAATTCACTGTAACATATACAGTATGACTGAAAGAGCTACATGTCTAAATTGTCTGTTGCTCATAGTACCTGGCACTACCATTGTAATTATTATTTAATATCGAGTTTTGGTGGGGCTAATTAATTGCCTTTAATTTAATGAAGTGTTTGTGAACTGAGCTCCGATTCTGCTGATGTTAACGCAATGATGGAATGATGGAACAGTGGCGTTTTAATTAATAATGCTTTTTCCACCTCACGCCAAATATTACATGACGCGTTAATGAATCAATCAATGATGTCAAATTCTTTTATTTTGTGATATAGTAACAGGAGCTGTGCCAAAAAAGCTATTATTGAAACTACACTGATACGTTAGTATTACTTTGACATTAGTAGAATGACCCCTGCATGTTATATAACCGTGATTATTGTCACAAAGTCATTTGAAAACAATATGTTGCTAGTTTACTTAAACATATATAACCTTTTAATGGTCGAGCGTTAAAACATGTACGACCATTTGGCAGTAACATAGTAATGCTCTCTAACAAATATAAGTGAAATTTTAATTCCATCTTATTGTGAATTCGAAGTATTGCAATATAAATCCACTTTACACTTACTTTTATGTTAAATTACTATTCAAGTAATTTTCGTGCTGGGCACTGGCTAAATAAATACTGTAAGAACAATTATGGTGATGGTAATTGATAATTGTCTCCCTCCGAGCTAGGTGTTGTTAGCCTGGGGACCGCGGTCCTACCGATATAGGTTGGACATACTATTTATGCTAATTGGTAATTAAACTTATCGTGAGCGATGAAGGTTTATTCATTCTAAATGTTTAATTTATAATGTTTGTATTGGTACAGCGCCATCTCGTTACTGGGTGTCGAAACTTCTTGCAGTTCGTCTTGCTATCGATTGCTGTGACGATGCTAGTCTTCTCGCTATCGATTGTTGTGTCGATGTTAGTGTGATGAATTAGATGTCGCTATGTATCAGTCGCTACAATATTATAAATTAAAGCAAATAATAGTTTGTTAAGCAGTGACAATAACCAGAACAATGATTCCATAAAAACCCGAACCCGAATTCACTCAGGTATCCAAATTCACTTCCGCTTAACCTTGTATTGGAATTAACGTTTCGTGGTATAAGTGAAGTGAGTTTCAAATTTACATAGGCATAGAATATCTGACATTAAAAATATTTTTTAATATAGCAATGAAAAAATGATCAAATATAATAATTATAACAAATATTAATCTTAATCGAAATATTAAAATATTTGTTAATATTTCTTTTGGCTGTTTGGGTGGAATTTTTACACTAATATAAGTGAATTCGGACACCTTAACTATCACTCTCGACACTGATTCTGGTTCGGATTTTTACAGAATCACTGCAGATCTTACAACCGATATCATTGAAAATCTAAAATGATTATTTTTAAGTATTACTTGTGGTATTTTATTGTTTAAGTGTTACAGTATTACAAAAGCATTTTAATTTATTGCGCATTTAACCTAAAAGGTTTCTTGTATCACATAGTAGCACATATGCCATCTAAACACAAAATAATAAAATTGACATTTATTAAAAAAAATGGTTTTATTTAACTCTGCGTTATCTATATTAGGTGTACCTACCGCCCAACTAGCAAATTAGTCATATAAGGTAAAGTTTATTCAGCTTTTCGGTGTTATAAAAGTCGAGTAAGTGTGAATTATTCAGCACGTATCGTATAAAAGCATCTTATATAGCTTTTGAGTTATTCAGCATTTCGGTCACATAATGATGCTGAGTAAACGTTTAGTCAGCATCCTTATATGACTTAAGTGTCATATAATATTTTGCTGAATAAGTCGCTAGTATACGACGCTTATGTTACTATTTCGTCGAGTAAAAGCATATTATATAGCTTTCTTATGGCAAGGTTGACTCAGTCGAGTAAAAGCAACATTGTTGCTTTTATACTACTATTATGTAGTATACGTCGCATTTATACGACTATTACAAGCCTAAAATGTCGTATAATTGTATCCATTACACCGATCAGATTGTTTTGTGTAAAATGCTGTGAGTAGTTTACAGTTATCGAAAATGGACTGGAATTAAATGGAAAAACAAACAAAAAGTCTTTTTTAGAAAACTTTTTAGGAAGTTCTAAGGAACCCTAAACTATAATCAGAGTGGTATCATGGCGCTCATACTGCTAATTTGCTGTATAAGAAGCTATTATACCGCCTGTCAGCAGTAAAAATGGTGTACAAAAATAATATTGATATAAAAATATTTGTTATTATATTCATATTACTAAGAATTAAAGGGGGGCGTTAAATATTTATGATATAACCTAGTATATTTCCTCAGAAAACTTACCTTCGCAATACTTTACAACCCTATGCGTGAGTTTACGAACCTACATTTGGTGCAACCTACAAATTAACATGTCTGCTAAATAAATTGTACTTACCGATGAATTATAATTGCTTATTTTATTTACTATAAATGTTTTCAGTTGTTTTGTATCCCAGGTCGCTTCAATAAGACAAACATGTCATATAAAAGTCATATAAGTTACAGTTATAGCGCAACATAAGCTTGTAACAGTCATTCCGGCGATAATTACGTGACGATTTACCTGAATAAGTTACCTTTATACGATGTCTATGTGACTGAATTGCTGAATAAAATGGGCCCAAATCGCGTTGTATAAACGTTTTCATTACGTTTATACGACTTCTATTAGGAGCCAAAATGCTGAATAATTTTCGTTGCCGCGACTACTATACGACATATTTTTGCTAGTTGGGCGTGTATTTCCTGTAAGTTATTTAAAATTTAAAAGCTTATTTATCTGCTATCGGGCTCTATATATTGCTTAAACGATTTTCAAAATACATGTTACTATGACCATATAAAACTTTATCTTTTAGTGGCGTACAAGAAACAATCTTTTGACATAGTAGTTTATATGTTTGATGACTTTCGTTACGAAAAACATTAAAATATAATTCATGTTTATTCATGCGGTAGTACTAGGGGCGAATCCACTTAAGGGCTTAAGCCCGTTCCCATTAAAAACAATATACAACACTTTTTCGGTATATTCGGTACTATTGAAAAAAGTTAATAACTTCACATTCACTTCAGTAATCATCAGTAACAGCCCAGAGTCCCACAAATGCACGATTCGCCCCTGAGTACCAAATTTTCCGTATGGGAAGTTTAAATCAAACATTTATTGGTTCGACTTCTATTTAAGTTTTTTTTTTCTAATTATAAGGTCTCCCTACGTCAAGTTTTGTAGAAAATTTATAAAAACGTGACGTCATCTGACATTTTATCAAGGTATCGCCGTAATTTAAAATAATTATGAAAAAAATAAAAAATAGGTGTTATATATTTTTCAACAAAAATAAATCTGGATATGTAAACGTGAATTATCAAAGATAAAAAGAAATTTAAGGTACATATTAAATAAAATTTATAGAGGTAATCATCATAAATTTTTTATTTACATTGGCTGCAACAACTTTTAATAACCAAGGCTTTAAAGAAAAGTAACAAATAGTATGTACTATTAAATTGTGTAGATTCAAGATACTCTTTGCTGAATTCCGTCATCAACACTCTCGTCAAACAAGGCATTTATCAGTGTGCGATCTAATTTGATTAGATATTTGATATGTTTGTAGACTTGATAAAAATTCAGTATATGTATCAAAGTACGCAACTTTTGAAAGTTGATTGCATGTATTTGATTTTATATATTTTTTTTCAATATAATTATAACATTCTATATAGTTTTTAGCAGAGACAATGGCTGAGATTTGCTAATTTTAAGATCGTATTCTTGAAAATATACCCTTTACAGCTTCTTTTATGTTATGTATTATTTACAATCATAACTTTATGCGTATTCATTTATGAAGATTGAAATTATACTTATAGAAGATGCACCATCTTATCAGTCAAATTATTATTCTTTTATTTCTTCGCTAAAGCTTCTTTCAACTCTTGTGGTATTTTGCTGAGAGCGTATTTATGGAGATCTTCACTAACGGCAGCCAGAACTCCCATTTTATTGGGTTTGGATTCTGTAGCACTATATTTATAGAAATTGCCAACAATATCCGTCAGTTTCCCGCCAGCAGCCGATAGGACCGCTTCTGGTCCACACGTATCCCATTTTTTACACCCGGGACTAGCGAATACGTACACAGACGCTTTCCCTTCCAACAATTGTAAAACCTATTTTGAAATAAAAACGTAAGTATTACAAAAGCGTTTTTGACATTTTTGCTGAAAAGCGAAAATAATATTCAAAATACCACGTTGATATTACATTTGCTTTTCATTATATCCTACGAAAAATTACCGAAAGAGGCGTTTCTTTCGGTAGTTCTTATCAGCCAAAAGATGTATCGAACAAGTTGTAGGCTACAGTAAGATCTAATATAATTAAAAGAAAATATAACATTTCACAGACACCTATACACCTATATTTGAGGTATTTCTCATTAGCGGCGGGCCTGGCCTTTTTTCATGTTTCATTAACATTGTCCTTTCTATACAAAAATACATGAATAATGAATATTTTACCTTGTAACCTGCTCCGCCGACACGAAGGATTTGCGAAGCATCCATGACTTGCAAAGCTTTTTCAACAAGAGGATTCGAATGACTTCTTGTTGTAGTGATAATCAAGGAGTCTGGAGGAGGGGCTAGCGTAAAACCGCCAACGCCAACATCTTGAAACCCCCATATAGTTCTACCCATTTTCTTTTCGCCATCGACTATTGATTTATAATACGGTTGGTGAATCACACCAGCTATGGGTTTCTCATTAACAGATATTCCAATCAAAACTGTGACATGTTCTAAAAATCCTAAAACAAACATTGCACATATAAATTAAAAAGGGAAGTCTGAACCATATCAAAAATATATTCTAACATATGTATAAGTTGAGAGCAGTAATCACTTAAGAATATGTCATAATTGAAGCAGATATTTATACACAATAAACAAGAGTTTAATTAAGAATTAAGAACTATTACGTAATAGTGCTTACTTCATTCAATTTCTAGACTTTTGGTTAAAAATATTCGCTTAAAACAGGACATTTTCTCAATTACTTCGCTCTACTATAGATACAAGTATAAACTTATCATTCTAAGTGAAAGGTATTGACATTCATTGATTGTATTTACAGTTAATATTGATTGAAATCCTTGAGAACACATTTTAATAATTATATTGCCAACAGCAACACAAAACAAATTAAAAAACTTGTTATGCAATTGTTAAATTACTTGTTATATTATTATTTTATGTGATTTTTTTTTATTCATTCATTATACGCTATGTTGCGTTTTAAGTAACTTTTTTTTTAGCTTGTTAATTTAACATTCTTTATTAGTCTTGTACATACATTATTACTAGACACAAAATATTTTTCTATTGTTAATTTGAATTATACCAAAAAATTACCCAGAACCCCTGTTTCATTTTATTATTAAAATCTTGAAATTATAGATTTTACATGTACACCATTGATTGTATTGTGTAACATATTAAAATATATAGTGAGCAGTAATTTATTATGGTATATAAAGAAATACATAAATTTTATCATATCTAAAAATATGTCAATGGTTTTGAATTGACTTTTCTATCTTAATTTTTAGCTTAAGATGATAATGCCTCCCAGTAGGTACCAATTTATATTTTTATTCTCTACACTATTACTTATTTTCTTCACTATTCTCTATTTTATTCATTGTAATAATGTTACAAAGAAAGGCTGCTAATAAGCTTGCTATGACACAATTTCAACATGCTTTGATTCAGATTCATAATGGAGCTTGTGTATTTAACATCTATTTAATTAATAGCTCAGGCCAAAGATCAACCACCCTCTATAGGGTGATCACCAAAACTAGAAGTTGTAAGCAGATATCTACCTAGATGCGTAAGCGACAGGACTATGCCATTGCAATGCAGATAAGGACATATTTAATACGGGGCAATTCTTTCCACAATAGGCCTTCTCATTTTTTGTGATTATCAATGAGATAATTACAAAATAATTACTATGAAATGTAAAACTTTTAAAAATCTCAAGGTTCTTACTATAAAGTATGTGTGACATATTCACTTAAGCAACTATAAATTCATCCAGCACACGTAGCATGACAAATCCGAGAAACGCTTTGTCTACACTCATTTGTCAGTTTATCAGTTCGAGAGTAAGATATCATATGGGCGCACCCGAGAAAAGTGACATTTGAGTGTAGACAAAACGTTCTCGAGTTTGTCATGCTACGCATGCTGGTACAGATGCACGTTAAGAGCTATTGGAGAGTATAAATTGTGTTACATATAATGAGCCCAAAATGCATAAGTATAGATATTCTGTTATGAAAACAGAAAGTTATCTCATATCAAAAATCTCTCTACATAGGTAAAATATAACTTTTGTAGAATAAAAATTGATATAAAAACACATGTTCTAATTTTCTTTAAAATTAAAGTTATATTATAATTTGCTTGTTCATATTCACATGGCCAATGTCAAACTACTAATGTACAATATGGTACTAAAATGTAATACATAAGCACAAGTTCTATTACTAGTGATACCAATGATGATAAAATTGTTTTAATTGAAACAAAAAGGAAGATAAGGTCTGGAGCATGAGGACCATAAAATGTGGATTTCATTAAAGACCGTATAATATGATGTAGTTATCATTAATTAACCATACATGATGTATAACTGGATAGTTTTGATAAAATTATTTTGAAAAGGCATTGTTAATTCTCCTTATTAACATGTTTAGTAAGAATTATTATATACATATGTATAGTATCATAATAATCATGCAGATACAAAAACTACAAAAACATTCAGACCACTAAGCCCAGCTGCAAAAAAAATTAGGTTTTACCATAATTGGATTGTAGCAAACTTAGATACCACTTCATACTAATAAATGGATGCAATAAATACATTTTCCATCTTTCCCAAGGACTCCTCTTCAACATTAGGGCACCTAAAATTTTGATACAGGTGCTTTACTCCACCCATTTAACTTGTTACAACATTATAGTAGTAGCAAATACCAATTATTATGAAATTATTAAATACCTTGGGTGTACTCTGCAGTCCCATCGAGAGGATCAACCCAAACTACAATTTCCTCCTCTTGTACACTTTTAAGATTGTCAGGGCAGTTGAGTAGCAACACTTCCCGGTCTGCATCAGTCACAATCCAGTCACTTGGAAAATCTACCTACATAAAAACCCGTTATTTTTGAGGTTTCTATTTAATATTCCACTTATAAAAAGGCACTAGTCTTCGCTAAATAGAAACTAAAGGGGAGTAAAGATTGAAAACTCACATCATTATCAGTATTATCTTCTTCACCGATGATGTTTATCTTCGGGTACTGGGCCGAAAGTGATGCAATGATACATTTTTGAGCAGACCTATCAGCTTCTGTTTGGTAATCATCTTTTCCCTGTAAATATACGTGTACGATTGAATAAACAATAACACAAAACAATACAGGCGAAGAGAAACTATCTCTTAAAAAGGAAAACGAACCTTTTCAACTATACCCAGTTCTCCTTTGCTCATCACATCTCTAACTATTTTACCTGCCCTATTGGCCACAGAAACTGATGAAGCTAGTAATTTTACAATAAGAGACGGACTGGTTGACATGATGTGCAAATGACTATTCACTACTACTGTTAACTGTATGAGGTGCAAATATAGCAAGTTACCTTATGAAATAAATAACACTACTGATATAAAACATTAAGTAGGTATTGGAATTTTGGTTACGAATTTACGATTCGAAAGTTATTTATTCTGATGGGGGAAGGTGGGAGAGGGAAGTCAACGTCAACACAGAATGACAGCTTTTGTTTTAAAGATAAAGGCATATAGGCCATACAGCCAACAGAATATTTCCACTATGAACAAGAATTAGGAAAACTGATGAATGAAAATTATATTTAGATCTTTGTTGGTAGCATTTTAACGCAGACTACTCAAATCAAATATTCTAGTCTCATATTATTGTGTTAAAATACTGTAATATACGGATAAAATTCGGCTATGACTTTTGTTGCCTAGTTTACTTACTAAAAATAAATACAAAATGAACATTAAAATTTTATTTAAAATTTAGTATAAACACCTTATACCCATAATTACTAAATGTATAAAAACACACTATCGACAAATGTAACAATTTTTTTTTATTGAGCGTACTAGGTAATTATCTCTGCATAATATATCAGATTTATAATAAATAATCAGACACGGTACAAAAAGTAGTTATAAAGTTTATTGTTTTAATGTTTCTTTGCACAACACAGGCCACTCAAAATGTCTCAATAATAAGGATCGGTGCTAATCTAACGAAAGTGTAACACGGAAGTATACGTTAGTGCTCTTCTTCTACTTCTTAACTTTAATGACACATTGTGGGTGATCTTGACGCACTGACGGATCAACGTTGAATGTCATAAATTTTGGTAATTCTGACGTTCTGCGACCGGTCTTCCTTTAGATATACACCAACCCTAAAATTTTTTTTATGCAAACAAATTATGTAGCACCTAAATAGATACTAGCTATGTAAAGTGTGATTTTGAACTTAACTATCATGAGTTTAAAGTATCATATCGTTTGGACAAAATCTGTCTTTGTACTGTATCATGGCATGGTAAATAACTATGGTTGTCTGAAAAACCATCGAGTCATGATTATGTCCAAAACGTGGTTAAAGTGACTTTAATAAAGACATATTGATCTATAAATAGAATTATATAATTCTGTAAAAGTATAAGGTTTAATAATAAAATTGATCATTATTTGATAATATTATGACGAGATGATCTCATTAATGCCTTATGATTATAAAAAATACATAATTAAAGGTAAAAATTACGTATAGGCTCGATTATACATTTATACCCATGGCCAATTGAAATGATAAAAATATTAACTTTTTCGCTAAAAAACGAATGATATGGTATATTGTGTTGAAACTTAAACATTATCAAAATGCGTATAACAATATTTCACAAGAAAAACATATCTTAGAATGCAACATTATTTTCTTAAAATATACAGATTACCTATAAAAATGTGCCTTAGTTTCTTTACATTAGAGTGCCATTACATTAATAATAAACTTCCCCAACGCCGTTTTTATTATAAGAAAATATAACTATATAATTTTTTAAAGATACATAGACCTTCGCAGAAATATAACATTTATAAAATTAAAAGTATTACAAGAGTCTGTGCACAAACTAGGTTACTTCTCATTATATTTAATTTTGCATTCACTATAATATATTGTTATTTTAACTTAAAACAACGACACACCCTTCGTTTTATTTTAAAAAATGTAACCTAGTTTTTGTAGCTTACAACAATACTAACATAAGTATATTATAATAAAGTATAACTATCACTTAATCCATAAAACAATGTTAAATATTAAATCAATCTTATTTACTCATGAAAAAACCTTACATACTTTTGATATTACTTGTAAATTTTAATTTGATATGGATAACAACATCTACATAATAAAATATGTATCAAAACAACGAATGCTACGAGTTATATAACATAATCTCTTCACCAAATTCTTCACATTACTAATTTCTTTTAGATAAGATTGAACATATAATTATAGTATAGCAAATAAAATAATTACTACCACCATTTCCAAAATAAAAATATAAACTTGATAATTCAGATTAAAAATAATTTATTCACTCTTGTTGCAAACATCATTGATCAATCAGTACGAAAATCTACAGAGGAAGACTTACCGAGAAGAACCAACACGAAACTCAGCAAGGGCTGTTTATTTTTCCCTGTTTTATTTCAAACAGAGTAAAGGAATTACATCATTGGACTTTGAAGTCATTTTCCATTACAATATTATGAATTAAAAATAACCCAATTCATTAGACACAACGATTCACATTCCGGAGAGGCATCCGAGACTGGTTCATTTTTTTAAATAATTCTCTACATGATAAATATATAACAACATTAACTAACAAAAAACAAGTTCAATTCACAACCTTTCTCAGCATCTTCAACATTTTTAACGGAATGCTATATTCAATGAATACTCTGAAATTCTTGTAATTAGTTATTTTAAACATAACATATAGGAAAACAATTATTGAATATAATAAAAAATGATTAAGGGCATGTTAAAAGTTCCGTAAAATAAGGTTGGTCACCGTACATTACTACAGTAAAAATGGTGAACTAAGTCGTTGGAAAACTATTTTTCTCATACATAGGACGTATACAGTATGCCTACTGAACCGTTGAAACTATATCTTATTTCTTTGGACTAATAATCGACCGTTATATGCAGTATTATTATTGAACTCTTCATTTTCTTTCTTTTCGTTATTGAGTTGAATGTCGCTTGCACCTATGCATGACTGTTTGGTTTTTTTAATCAAAAAATGAAACCATAAAAATTACAAAGTTATTTAGTTCTACTTTTATGTGTAACCAATGGAAAATTGGGGGCGATAAGAAATAGAGGAAATATAATTTGGTAAATCTAAATAAAAAATGTTTATTTTAGTCCCAGATTATATAAGATATAGGCAGGAAATTTTTCCTTTGAGTAAAATAATTTAGGACCTTTAAAAAATAAGTTACTACATTGGTATGTCATTTGAACTTATTTCTATGGTACTATTGCACATGGTATTTATTGAATTTGAATGTTTTTTCTCATGATTTGTGATCTTCCAATATAATGTCGCTAACTTATAGCGACAATTATAATATTATTAAAGACAATGGCGCAGTTCTTAGAGAATTCGTTATAGTTAATTCACTTTCGAAAAGTTCGGACTCAAATGGGTTATTATTGGAATTTTCCATGTTTCTGAAGGCATGTTTCATCTAAAGGTCCCGGCTTTATTTGTTATATTACCCGCCGTTCGCCACATACAAAATGTAGGTGGGTGATCAAATAATGTTCTTGGATGTGATTTTAATAGCATGAGTAAAAAGGGCGTCTAAACAAAAAAATCGCAGACTTTCAATTTGATTTTGTACAAAAACAAATGACCTTCAAATATGTTGTAATTGAAAATAGGAAAACTACAACGTCTTTATAAAAACGTGAAGTTTAAAATTTATTTAAAGAAAAATCAAACATTACCTTACTCATAAAATTTTCCATTTTTTCTTGTAATTATACTCGTTTTAAAAGGGAAATTGTTAAATAGGCGAGTAACTGTAGCAGAGGTGTTCTAAGGACTTTTAAAATAATCAAAATTGTCTGAGAGTAGTTAATAAAAAATAGTTTGTTACACAATACGCCATCCTCTGTCCCTCTCTATCTCACTGACACGTTCATGTTGTCTCGTTTCCTCATTTACCGTGAACGTGAACATCAACACTCAGCGGGCTGTTCATCGTCAACCTGTACGAGTATATGTTTGACGATCTGGTCAATGGTGTGAGTTTCGAGCATACGCGCTATGTTCTTGTCCTCGACCGCGTACAGGAACAGGTGCTTCGTGTTCTCGCGCAAACACTGCACGCGAGTCCAGCGACTCTTGTCTGCACTGCGGGCACCGCAATGCTCTATCACTTTTTCCAACACCTAAAGGAAACATATCATTATTTAAACCAATAGGACATTTTACTCTGTTTGCAATAATACTTGTAACTGTTTATTTTAATTTAAAAAAGCCATAAAACAAATATTTCGGAAGAATAAACACATTTTACTACATTATTTTTTTTTTATACCCGCGACAAACGGTATTCATCATATTCTTGGCGTCATTGTGATATGTACGCATAACAGATGCATAAAGTAGATAATGAAATAAAGTAGATGATGAAAATATGTCAATAAAATAAGACAAATGCCATTTAACGATCGATTACGAAATAAATAGATATAAATTAACTAAGAACAGCGCCATCTAGGAATTAGTTTTGTAATTAATGAGTGGCGGGTCATGTTTCAATCAAACTAGATGTCGCTACGGTACTTTCTTGATTTTTAAAGGAAATTAATTTTCAAAACTCAATAAATAACTCATATTCTATTTGTAATTTTTCGTATTTGTATTGATATCTAAATTTCGAACTTGGAAAATTTCAGTTTTTTAATATGTTAGTTAAAAGGAACGGAAATTACTATCTTTGGTCCATTTGTTTCCTGCAAAAATCAACTTTTGCTGTCATCAACAGTCGCCGTCTAGTGTGGTACTTTTAGTGCTTTTTTTTCCTTAAAACACTTTCTCATTATATATTATATTTAAAAATGTTGCGAAGGACAATTCAGTTATTACGAGATTAGTTCTTAAGTAATGTGGTCATAAATGTAAATCTACCCCTGTTTTATCGAAGTTTTAAATATTTATTTCTCAGTATTAAACCGTAAGAAAAATCTTAATGTAGTGATTAATTACTAATTATACATACAGTGTCAACAGATTCGTTGGGCCATCCAAAGATCTCGAGAACGTCATCGTCGACCAAGCGTTTTAATAATAACTTTAGGTTTTCTTCCAGCTCTTTTTCAGACATCAATGGATTGTCTTCTACCTAAAATTATAAAGAACAAAGATAAGAAAATTTAGTGATATTAAGTCATATTAATATCAATAAATCATACCTAAACAAACGTTACTCTTATTTAAAGCAGCCCCCTGGTTGTCTAATTTTAAATCTATTGCCATCGCTTTCAGTTTGAAAGGTGTTGTACAACCATTGCTGCATAATACAAATACTTTTTTCAACTGTCTTCAGAAACAAGCAATGGTTATCCAACATCTTTCGAACCGAAGCGACAGCGATAGATTTTAAAGTTAGACAATTAGTTCCCAGGTCATCTAAGTAAGAACACCATCCCAAAAAAAAACAATGAATGTATTCGTTAAAACTTCTACAGTGCTATTTATTTATAAAGAAGGTTCAGTGTCATTTATGCTTGAATTGCAATTTAAGTATTAGTGAAATTCATAATATGCAGATAATAAGCTAACCTACTACCTTTTAGGAGTAAACTCTCCTAGAACTTCGTATTAGGTCAACCTTTGCTAAGTCTCTGTTTAGTGAATATGATTTTTGACTAATACTAAGTACAGTCTCAGCGTTGATTTTCTCCATCGCTAAATCTTGTTCATCAGCATAACATCTGCTACGGACTACCATATAGGTTACTAGAGATTTTCCATTCAACGGTATAAAAGCATGAATAATGTTTATTGAATTAGTATTGCATACAATGTGATTTTTTTTTATTGAAATTTTCACAGCATCATCTCTATTATATAATGTATACTAACAGCCGGTTGCACAAACGTGCATTAAAATTATCACTACTTTAAAGCGACATTACCAATACAAATTTGAACATTCATTGAGCCTTAAAGGCGTCATTAAACCTTAATGGATATTAGTGCAACTGACCGTTAGAGAAAGTGACTATATTTATCTAAATATTTGGTGTAACTAACCTCTTTTACTGGAATGATGTTGCCTTCGACTTTTTCCACTCCACCATACAACGTGTCCGAGCTGCTGTACGCTAGAATGCGGTCCGACTCCGCGTCCAGTACGTTTAAGATAGAATCCAATTCAGATTTTCTTACTCTGTCCACGTTAATATTTTTGCCCTAAAATAGCAATAAAGTAAATTTTTAATGCGATGCTTGGTTTGAAATAGTCGAAATGAGTGAAAGTATGTAAAAATGAGAGTATGAGTATGAGTGAAATCAGTGGCATCGTAGATAAGCGCCGCGGCACGTGATCGTTGTCGTTAAGCAACTTTCGCACGGGTCAGTCACGGGATGAGTGACCAAAAAATTATTATCTCGAGCTACTCCATGCTTCTGAAGACACGTTAAGCCGTTGGTCCCGGCTGCATTTATAGTCGTTAATACCCGCCAATCCGCATTGGGCCAGCGTGGAGGGTCATGGCCCATGCTCCTTAACTATCCATAAGGAACGCCTGAGCAACTGCAGTGGGGACGAAATAAAGGGCTGATGATGATGATATAAAAATGGCAGCGATACAGTTATCTTGACTTTCCCATTTTTTTTTCGGCCGCCCTCAGCCGGCAGCTAGAGTCCGCCACTCACCAGTACGTTCCGCACATGCGCCAGATGCTGCCGGAACAGGTCCGAGTGTTGATGGCGCACGTGCCGCAGCAGCTGCTCGCCGCGGACGTACGCGCGCGCGGACACGCAGTACATGCAGCGGCGCGGACGATCCAACCGATGCGTCGCCACGTGCCGCTTCATGTTGACCTCCGAGAAGAAAGTTTTGTTGCAAACCTCGCACTTGTAATCTGAATCAAAAATATATTCTCGTTATAGAGTTCCATACGGACATCTGATATAACAAATAATATATGATACCCACCCTTGCTACCTAAATGACTCTTCACGTGAGTTCGTAAACTAGCCTCACTATCGAATTCTCTATTCGAAAAATTGCATTCTTTAACTGGGCACACCAAACGCTCCAGACCCAAATGAACTCGTTGGTGGACCATTAATCTGTAAATAAAATTGTAATATTCAATAGTCGATCACAAGAAAAAATATAAGCCAAGTATTGTATCTATTTCAGGTCACAGTAATATTGTAAACATTAGTCATCGTAGGATATGGTGAGATTAAATTAAATTAATTCTGGTAGGATTAAAACCTGATAATGCTTGCAATTTTATGGCAACAAAGTGATTTACATATTAATCCAAAAATCCTTACAACAAGAAATTAAAAAATCTATGTTGAATTTTCAGTTAACTTTGTGATCGATTTTTCTACTGAAGAGAAAAATTATGAATTCACATTTTATTTTGATAGAACCCTTAAAAATATGGTGCAGTTTTTTTATTTTGTAATATAATACAAAAAAATAATAATAAAATATCTTTCCGACTCACCTGACTTTAGAAGGGAAAGCTTCACCGCACTGCTTGCATATGTTCCCAATATGCTTTTGCATGTGACGATCCAGCTGAAGCCGTTGAATGTAGGAATTCCCACAGATGTCGCACTTATGTGGTTTGTCCTTCAAGTGGGTGAACATATGCCGCTTCAGCACTTCAGCCGTAAATGTACTATAACCACACTGTAGAAAATACCGAATCTCAATATATAATCTCGTACTAAATAAATATACTATACGATCGTATAGCACGGTCGCCGAACACAAATAATTTCGTACGTAGACCTTTGTGCCTACTGATAGATACTGTAAACATTTAAGGTTCACTTTACTTTGACAAAAATGACTAGATACATAATACAATGTTTGCAAACGAATGAAAGAAGTCCTATGTGATATTAGCACACATGTCAACTAACGCATTATTTGAAAGGCCTAACCGTTTTCTCAACAGTCGTGTTATTTAAAATGCATATCCGTTCATCGGTTTAAACAATTGGCAACTATTGATTGTTAGACAGGTTAACAAAACTCGTACTTGTTTGCAAATATAATTAAAAATACAATTAAGATTTATAACAGTCGGTCAAAGTAAATTCACGTTAATTTTATGTCGAGTCTCGGGGGGTAGTGTCATCCCCGCCCTTTTTGTATAAAAGCGGAGATGCCGCCATTGCCGAGTTCAGTTTGCTCCCGATGTTCGTGCAGTCAACACCTAAGATTGTAAGTGGTTATTATTTTCTATTTTTTATATTTTGCTAAATTTATGTTTATTTACATTAAATTTTTGTGATATTTGTACATGCATGAGGTATCCATATATAAAAAAGTAATTAATTAAATTATTGGTAAATTTCCTTTAAAAACTTGCCTATTTTCTGATATTTGACTGTCATTATTTTATAATTTCTTCATGAATTTAATGATGTAATTGAAAGAATACTGCATAATTACACTTGTTGAAATTGATTAAGGTCTTTTATTTCACACACGTAGCATGACAAACTCGAGAAACGCTTTGTCTACACTCATTTGTCAGTTTCTCGGGTCGAGAGTGAGATATAGTATGGGCGCACCCGAGAAAAGTGACATTTGAGTGTAGGCAAAACGTTCTCGAGTTCACCATGCTACGCGTGCTGGTGATCGTTCGGCGACCGTGCTATTTCATCATTATCAGCTTATTCATATCCCCACTACAGGGGCCTAAGCTTTATCTTTCCTATAGAATTCAATAGGGAGACAAGAGCATCGCACACCACGCCGCACTAGTGCTGATTGGTTCGACCTGGACCAACGGCTTACCATGCCTTACGAAGCAGAGATAATAAATATTGGTAACTCAACCTATGACTGGCACTTCAATTCTTAAGTTTCGCATCGAAGACCGTACGCAGTTTACCACATAGCACTACGCAATTGTGCTCCACATAAGGTGATATTTCGGATTTATTACTTATAACTGCCGATAGTATTAGCGTTCTAACTAGATTATATCATTAAAAATGTCAATATTATTTAGGTCAGATTATATAAAGCATATGTATTTAATGCACGGCGTGTGAGGTTATCCAAAACAATTAAATTTCTACAATTGATTTTTAGCTTTAACGCTATGACAGCTAAGTTCAAAATAGAATACAATATATTGGGGTTTAACAATTTTTGTAACTGTTGGAATGGTTTGGATAGTGATACGCATTATTTGCTTTCAACGTTTATTCTCACTTTGGATAATTTCAGTTTTTTTTCGCCTGCCCTAAGATTATAGAAAATAATTCAATATCGATACTTACCATAAAATCTTGGCCATGAGAGCAAATAAACAAAAATATATTATTAGATTTGAACAATTTTGCATTCTCGATGCTATATTGAATCATATTTTAATGAAAAATACTTTAAAAAATTCACCAATCCTACCTGGTACAATTTTTTAAATATAGGAAAAGTATATTATTCAACACAACATGAAGAAAGGTTAGTCATAAAACAAGGCAGTGGATTCGTCACTGTAATGTATACACATGTTTTTTCTATATAACACCTATTATCCCTTGCAACCTGGGCTGCCACGCCGGCGGCTCCTTCGTGCGGCTTATAAAGCTGCCGGTATGTGTAGAAGCAAGAAGATATTACAATAATTTATTAAAGAATAGACGTGTTCCTTGACAGTTAATCAGTTGACTGGGCTTTGAACAACCGTATGTTTGCGTTCAGCATTCGAATGGCGCCTTTTGATAGAGTATTCTACTCTGTTTAAAATAATAACTGTAACTGTTTATTTTAATTTAAAAAAGTCATAAAACACGTTTTATTGCCTTGGAATTAAAACAAAATTTAACCTTTTTTTATACCCGCGATAACGCTGTCCGTCATATTCATGACGTCCCTGTGATATGTACACAAAACAGATGCGGATGCAGATGCAGATGATAGAGTAGAAGATTAAAAGATGTCAAAAAACAAGAACAATGCCATCTAACGATCGATTACGAAATAAAGGGATATTAATGAGTTAAGAACAGCGCCATCCGAGTCGTGTTTCAAGTCACGTGGACACACAGACAATAAAATCACGACTTTTAATTTTACAGACTTAAAATCAGAATGTGTATTACGATGTCTATTTCGATGTAAATTTTAGTTTTAGTGTAATTTCGTGACTTAAGTTTCACTACCTACCCTACTGCTACCCTATTAAATTGTTTGGTTGATGTAACTAGTAGCCCTAGCCTGTTTCCCTTCTTTCGGATAATTTCGAAACCTTAAAAATATCTAAAATATTGTATAAGCAGAGAGATATGTTTCCAAAAATATGCGAAAATTTGTTTTCGTTGAGACAGAGTAAGCTTTCAGTAGGATACAACATATCTATAATAATCGGTAGTCCACCTCCGGATACAGTAGCGTGTTTGTATAATGCATTTACTTTTAGACACCTTTTTATCTTCTTTATCATGAAATTAATGGATTGGAAAAGAGGTAGAAATTGGCTATAATTTACCCTGCATCTTTACTTACCACTTAAATAAAAAAAATAACAAAATATATAATATAAAAAAAATTACCACATCACACGCATGCTTTTTGTCTCCATGTATTTCCAAATGTTTGGCTATTGAAGTGCGAGAAGAAGTTGTTTTTCCACAAATGTCGCATTCAAACTTAAGTGGCTCTGAAATTATTATTCATAAGAAAAATCAAAAATTAGTTCTTGGTAACCACTATCTAATTAATCACAAATCACTATTAATCAATTTCATTAAAAATAATATTTTTTGGGCTAGGATTTGATTGCCATGCTTTTAGCTGCCTTGGTTGGAAGTCAGTATTTATATAATAAAAATGAAATCGGTCATAAACGGGTAATAATAACCCACCATGCATGCCATAATACACACAATACATACAGTCTTCCAATGAACGGCCCTTGCAGAATTTGCTTAACATCACAGACTTGACACATTAAATAGTGCCAATCCAATTTGAGCGCTATCAACATTATTATATAAATCTTTAATAATTATCTTGGATTTGAATTTACATAATTCACTTACCCAAATGGTTTTCCTGCCAATGTTTAACGAGTTTTGAAAAGTTTTTAGATGTGTAAGAGCAATATTTACATGAATATCCTTTCTTTAAAATATGCTGAATGCGAAGATGTACAATCAAATTGTCTTTTCGAGAGAAATTAGCACCGCATATCTGAAAATATATACCTACTATTAATTGTTTTTACATCATTTGAAATACAATAAATTAAGTTTAAATAGAAACAAAGAAAACTTTTCATATACATGTAAAGAAAATAAGATTTCTTGGTATGTATATGTAACCTTGGCGCATTTTGAATATTAGCAGACGAGAGATACTGTTGTCCTAATTGATTGAAAGATAGCACTATCTGGGGGAGAATGATAAAGCAGAAAGAAAAGAAAATATACATTATTATTGAATAAAGGAATCAAAGAATAAACATTATATGTCGTTTCTTTGTTTGTTCAGGTAGGTTATATACACTAAGGTAGCTTTATTTTTTTTTTTTCAAGTGTAAAACTATAAAAAATAAATCTTTATTTTTTTCAGAGCAACACATGGGTTTAATTCCTCTATTCCAAAATTTTGAATAGAACATTCACTTTGTCTTATACTATATATTTTTGTTTCACTGTAGTCTGAGAATTTGAGTATCAGGTCATAACATAACATAAAAACATGTGTAACTATGTAACATTTCTAATGCCGCATTCGTAAAATATTCGAGAATAATGAAATGGTCAACACTATGGTGTGCAATTTATAAAATGAAAATCGTTTTGAAATAATTAATTTAATGGTGTCCGTCCTCAATTGATTTTGAACTCTACTTTTAATGTGTTAAAGTTTATAATCAAATGAAGAACTTAGACAGTATGAGTAGTGATTGTTATGACCAATTGTTGATGTGTGGTCCTTTAGTTATAATAATAATAACTTTTGCTGCATGTGTTGTGCTAAACTTCTACCATGTTAAATACTGCTACATAAAAGTTTTTTTTTTTTGGGACTTTTGTCCAAAAGACACGACAGCCCCATCGATATATAAAAAATACTTACTTATCCATATAATAAATTGGACATCTGGTGATTAAGTCTTAATACCAGCAGTTGATAATTAAAGTTTATATACCTACAACTTATAAGCAATTTTACTTTAAAATGTTAATGAATAAAAAAATACTGCAACAGTTCAATGCAAGTAAATCTCTATTTCAATATATTATAACATAACGTTTTAGATTCTAATATTGTGTTTGTCAATCATTTTTTTTTTAGTTTACACACATCAGAGGAAATGAATGACATTTATCAATACACCTACAGCTAGTGATATTCAATATGTCCTATTAATAACTATAAACAAATTGAGATCAGTCAAAAACTTATTCTGTATAAAAAATTAAATAAATATGTGTATAAAAAAAACATAATTATAATATAATACTTTTATTAATATTATCCCTTTACTTACTTCACAAGGAAAGGAAGCTACTTCAGCTCCATTACATCCACTTTGTAACAAATGCCTCATAACATGAGCTCGCCTCACAAATGTCTTTTTGCAGTATGTGCAAGCATACTCTTCTCTGTTGTGAGTCATTTGTATATGCTTACGTAATGTAGACTTGTTTGGACACCTTACAGGACACAGATGACAAGCTACGCTTCCTGGTAATTTGGAATGTTCATTTTGTACGTGCATAAGAAAATTGTTCTTGAACTTAAATACTTTAGTACACTCATTGCACTTTATATGTGCCTGAAAAATAAATTACCTCTTATAATTATGTGTAAACACAAGTCAATACATAATTTTAAATATATTCCATGTAAATGAACTGTGTCATCCTATAATTTGACAAAAACAAATCACAAATTTTAATTTAAAAATCATGTTAGGTTAAAAGACACCAGATCATTGTTAATGGTCCACCCCCAAATGGCACAATCTATATTAAAAGTTATGTTTTAATATTCATGATGTAAAACATGATTAAAGTATGTGATGCAGTCTTATCCCACTTTGATCTTGAGACATGGGAAAAAATAATTGTGCTATTGTATAATTTCAGTACATTTGGGAACTACAACTACTAAATCAATAAATTATGTTATTTTTATTTTATTATCTTAAGCAACTTTAATATTCAGCCACATTCATGTTGTTTGAATCATATTCTGTCATTTACATCTATTTGATAAAATTTTACTATTACATAGTTACTATGCTGAAAGTTTTAAGAATATCACTAAGAAAGTAACTTGTAAACCATAAATTAAGTATTAGAAAAACTGTAAAAGGGGGCAAGAGATCTTATTATTTAAAAACATCAAGTCTTATTTTTGACATAGCTTCAATAAAAAGTTCATGTAAATATAAATTTATTTTGGCACTTGATATTCATAACTTTTAAGAATAAATTTGTGCTTGACAAAATAAATATTATCATTATTACAAAACTGTTTCTACATTAAACAGAAGGATACTAGTAAACACTTTAATTTTGTTAAAAAATATTTGTTTATGCTTTTGACTATTTATAATAAACAAATACTTGAAATTATCAAAGGAATATTTATTAAATTTAAAGGTTCTCTCCAAGTCAATAATTTTTGTCATAATAAGTAATATATATAATTTATTTTCAGATTTCCTCCTATGAATGCACCTATTTAGGAAACGAAATAAGGATAAAAATATACTAAATATTTCAGGCAATGCTGCCTATAAGCAAAGCAGTGTTCAGGAGAATGGTAACAGGAGTTATGACTTTTGTAAATTCTTACCCGGGCATCCATTGCCGACATTACAGAATTAGCTTCATTACAGTTCACTAAATGTTTATCCAGTTTAGATTCCTCGTCAAAAGAAGAATCACAAACAGCACACTTATACTCAAATTTGAGAAGACCCTCAGCGTTATCTTTCTTTGTTCTTGATTGGGATACACCTTTCTTTTTCTTCGACCGAAGTGCGTTAGTCGTTTTTTTACGTTTGGGAGCCATAATAATAGTTTATTGAATTTTTTGAATTGTCAAATACGCCTATCAAAATCAACAATAATAACAACAGTCAACACTACGAAATTTGATGTAATTTTCGTAAGGCGCTATGGCATTTCTCAAAACCATCACATCGACAATCGACATCAAATTACCACGTTGTCAGTAAGTGTTGCCAATTTTGAATTTGTCATCCGCACGATAGGCGGTCGGAGCTTCGGGTCGGAGCCATAGGTCGGAGCTTCAACATAGAGAGAGATAGATAAAGCTCCAACCACGGACAATCAGACTGGCTTAAAAAACTGATATGCATAGTTCGAAACTTAGATATTGATATCTTTAACAAATACGAAAAAAGTACAAATAGAATATGAGTTGTTTATTGAGTTTTGAAAATTAATTTACTTTTATACATGAAAGAAAACGGGAAGGGTTGTCATGGAGAAATCAAGAAAGTACCGTAGCGACATCTATTTTGATTTCGGGAACTAACATTTTTTTATACTTTCTCATTGTCTATGATATTCATTCAAATTTTCTTTCTGCCGTAATAAGAGTAAATTAAGTAACAAAAATTAATAAATATAATATTGTTTCGTGTATCTTATAATATCTAACTTTCAAATTAATTTTTATTTATGTGAATCGTAGGTTTAAATTATTTATTATGTTACGTGTATTTATTATGTAACTTTTTGTTTGCTCGTAACTTCAATGAGGAAGAATTTTAAAAATAAAAATAAGTTCTTAAAATCAAACTAGATGTCACTAGCGATGTTCGGATATTGTCTATGACATTCACTTAAATTTTGTTTCTAATGTAATATAAATAAATTGAGTATAGAAAATTAATACTTATGAAATCTTTTCGTGTTTCTTATCTGACTTTCAATATAATTTTAATTTATTTTAATCGTAAGTTTAAGTTATTTACTATGTTACGTGTAAAGGAACGATTAGTTTACATGTCAATATTAGTGATGAGCCAACTTATTGGTTGCTAGTAACTTCAATTGACTCGATTCATCCGAATTCAGATTTGGAATCAAGAACAAAAAACGGAGCGCAGGATTCTGCTTGTTTTTTTTTTATGTGTAGTATTTCCATATGTGCTATTATGCATCTACACGTCGAAATGTATTAATATAAATATCAAAATCATCCATAGTACTTGTGAAAGTCGAAAACTTTGCCAACGGTTTCAAAACTAAGGCGGGATGACGGGAGAGACTGCGAAGAACCGGCAAGAAACTCAGCTAGGGCTACTTTTTTCTCCCTGTTTTATTTCACACAGATAAGTCTTATTGGAATGTGTCTTAATTAGACTGTAAGTCACTTTCCATTACAATATCAGAATATTATTATTGACAAATCAATATACAATTATCATAATAAAAGAACCGTAGTAACGTCTAGTTTGATTTCGGTAACTAATGCTTTTTTAAATACTTTCCTTTTTTTAAACATAACCTGTTATTGGTTGCGACTACAACCAATAAGAGGGCGTTTTTGTCGTTCATTAGATTCTTAAAAATGTTGCATTTTCTTTACGTTATTTTACTAAAGTGTCAAATACCCTATTATATGCGAAGTACTATGCTTCTTTTGGGCAACTTAATTGTTGTGACGTGACGTTTTTAGTCCTTAATTTTTTAATATCGAATTTTTTTAACCATCGTTTTTGAGATCCTTCGTGAAGTAATCCAAATTTGGACTGGTCTATTTGTCCTATCGACTTTTTATTATTTTAGAAAGGCAAAGCTGTTTCAAAGTCTACGAGTTTTTTTGCAAGACAACTGACGCATATACTCGGTTACGCAATGATCTATTTTTCGGGTTCAGTACGCAAAGGGTAAAAACGGAATTTTCATAATTCTTTTTTATTCGACAGCTTAATGGTCCGAGGTGGTCCGATTTTATCAAAATCGAGTCAGTAGTTTTTCTTTTATCACAAAACAAAATTCGTTTTCACCAAATATCACCCAAATAAGTAGTTAGTATGGTAAAACATGGTGCTTTGCAGCCAAAAAAACAAAAGATTGTGTTTTGCATTTATTCAGAATCCGAAACGTGGATTTTCTGTGTTAATCAAGTATGTTGTGTACTTCACTTTTTGATGTATATTTTTTATGAAAGTCTTAGATAGTAGGTATTAAAGAGTACTTTACATATTGTACTTTATACTTTACTTAATAATAATTCGTAGAGAATCGTGAATCAATTTCTATCAAACTAGCTATTTCCCCGCGACTTCGCCTGCTTAAATTATGACCAAAGTCCAACGCGCATTAAGTAGCTGCCCATAGATGAAAGACTTTCATAAATCGGTCCAATAATATCGGAACCTATCCAATGCAAACAAACAAATCTTTCCTCTTTATAATAAGTATGGTATTATTGGAAAAAATATGCCGACCAATAAAAATATTCTTCTCTAAGACTTTTCTCTAAGATATTAGTTATTAAAAAAATATATCAATATCACTAAAAAGTTTGAAATAAAAACTTGAAAAAACAGAAACAACTTCAAACTTAAAAAATCATAAATAATACTTACCTCAAATCTATTATTTAATTAACAATATACAGAAGTCTCGACCTCCGCCCGCCCGATGTTCAATTGCATTTTCTTGGTTAAGAAGCTTTTGAGATAAGTATTATTTATCACTTTTTTAAAGCTAGAAATTGGTTCTATTTTTTAAGTTCTTTTTATTACAAATAAGTCTGATTTGGACTACAAAAATATTTTCTGTAGATACACTCTTTGGATAAAACAGCACCAGGTGTCTGAGATGGGTTCAGGGTAGCTCAATGTTTAGAGCAATAGCCCGGGATTGCGAAAGGTCGTGGGTTCAAGTCCCATTTCAGAGTATCTGCGGCTGGTGGATTTTTTAACCATTTTTCCTAAAGAATATTTTCCAAGATAGCATTGTGAATGCAAAATTAATCAAATATAATGGTTATGAAGAGTTCATTTATTTATTGATCGGTATTCGGATCGGATCGGTATTTTAGATAATAAAACTCATAAATAAGGAATCAAGTCAATTTGTTGATACATATTTATTTTTTACACATGTACAATAAAATTAAAACTCATTTAACATGTCTACTTACATAAATTACTATTGCACATTCCCATTTGCGAGTAACTTTTCGATTCGATTAGAGTTTTTGTGTATGACTACTTTAAGATCATTAATTTTGTCATGTTTCTCCAGTATATCCGCATTAAGCTGCTTCGCTTTTGTAGTTAAAGGAAACAGTGATTCCTCATTGGCTCTGAAATATTTTAGGTTTATATAAATTATCTGAGAGTACATAGAGAGTAAGATAAATATTCTAAAGAGGTTGCAACCACTGAACGTAGGCAAATCGACATCATTTACATGAGGCAATTACACTACAGCTTTTAAAAGTGTCTTGCCTCCTCTCAGTGTAATTTAAGAAAATGTATATATTAATATAAATGTTATCAGAATTGACGTTATATGACAGAAGACTGACAAATCTTTGACGAATCAATTGACGTTTGCCCTGGAGAAAGTGACACGCAACTGGAGAAATAAAATATGGCGGTATGAAGTTCGCCAAAGCTATAATAGTATTAATTAAATCTTGGCATGTCTTTATTAAGCCATGGCTTTTAATCACTATTCTAATCTATACGTATAAAACACATTTACCTATATCAAAAAATATACATTTTTATATTGCACCTCACGTTATAGAAATCTGTCATTCTGTAATAGAATATACACCTTCATTCACAAAACCTTAATTCAAATTAGGTAATTGATAGATTAAGTTTAAAATCAGTTCTGCTGTTCGGACAGTCAACTTCCCATCGTTAAACAAAACTGACGAAATTCCCCATTTAAACCTTAACGCATTGACGCTTGAGTTCAAAATCAAATTAAGAAGTTGATCAGATGCTACTGGTACAAATTGCCTAAAGAAACTATAAGCTTATCAGGAAAACAAGGTTAGGCTCCCAATATTGATGCGGTTCCACGATGGTCTTCTATTGGAAGTTGGACAGCATCATTTCTATCTTCAACTTTGAGGCTGTTGTTTGGTATTAGAAAATAAAACTATGTCCAAACCAATTCCTTGGGTTTTCGAGCCAAGAATGTCGCCTTCTTCCAACATTGTGTTGTCCCATAATTTTGCCTAGTTTTGGTACTACTTATTAAATAGTCGATGAGCTAGAAATGTTTGCCCATTCTCTGAAATAACGTTATATTGGTATCCATATTTAGAAAGCATCCAGTATTCAGCATATTTTCTGTCTATCTATTCAACCCCGATCTAAAAAGTGGACTATGCACTTTTTGAATCCAAATCTCTAATATTTTACTTTACTTATCAACTGCCCACATTGGCAATTCGGAAGATTTCTTGTGCGTATAGACAGCAGATAATGCATTCTCTGCTTATATCTCGACGAATTTTGGTAGCTTGTAGCAATTCATTTTCCATTTTGACCTTATTTTATTACAAGCAGTCAGGCATTTGGTGACATTATACGTTACCAATGATTCGTAAACCTTTAAAGTCGAGATCTCCATAATGAGTAAACAAATTAACTTAACTTATTGGAGTTCATTTAAGACTTATTCGAAATATATGTAACACGTATATTTAAAAAACATCCAAACCCTGTTCCTCCAAACCCCGGAGGCAAAACAAAGCAGCTCTCGTACTGAACCCGTTCCTAAAGCTGAACTGGGTGTAGCCGAGACCTTCTTATTTTCGATATAATTTTTGAAGTATAGACGGTAGTTAAAGTCGGTTTTTAACCTGTACAGTTTACATATTTAATAAGATTCTGCGCAGGGTTTACCTTCAAACATGCCAAGATTCTTTATTAGAATAAAAGTAAGAAAAGCCGATATTTACACAAACACACGAAACTAGTGCTGTTGTAATTTACTTTTAAATTCACATTTGTGTGGTCTATTGACCACACAATCAAAGTACATTGGTGCCCAACATGGTGCGCCAATATGAATGTATAATAAGATCCCATCAAAAACATAACATGTACAAAAATGCACAAATCTCACAACGCAATTCTTAGGCCGCAAAAAGTTATGAAATTAACTTAAACAAAGTCAATTAATTCAGTACCTACTTTCTGTAAGAGCTCTCCAACCTTGTCATAGATTAAGGAATGCTAGGAATATATGTAATCATCTCGATATACCATTGCTTTATATGAGTAACGATTCCGAATCATATCTTAGTAAATAAAATTAATATCATCTGAAACTAACGAAACTGGCCGGCCTATGAAATTAGTCGGTTTAAAAACCTGTTAATTCGGTTCGAAATATTTTTATTTGAATTTCAAGTATAAACAAAACAATACTTACGCTTTTTGTTTTGAAAGTTCTTTAGAAGCTTCCTCATATGTTTTTGTCCACTGTTGAAGTTCCTGTCGCATCACTTCAACGTCCTCTTGGATGTGATCCAGGAGCTTGCCTAATGGATTTGCAATTCGAGATAGAGCTTGAATATTAAACCTGAATTGCTCGACTTCTTTGTGTAAAGTATCTCTCGCTTTCTGTGCTCCAAATTCCCATTCCTATGGAAAGGTTCAAAATATTTTTTATTATTTTGTTTAAATAGGAATTTAAGGGCCTTATTACATTACATTTTCATCAGTTTAAAGCACAAATTTATTAAAACGATAAATATACCTAAATCCGAGCAAAATTTGTATGGCCGCATTTGTTTCCATTTGCAATAAGTCTATAAACAAGGGCACAGGGAAAAGCAATATGCAGTACCTAATGCATTTCCTATATCGTTAAGAAAAATATGTTATTAAAAACATGATGTAAGCGTTCATAAGGTATTCTAATATGTATTTTATATCCTAGTTTTTAAATAATATTTTGAATGATTTTAATCGGTACAATCATTGTCGCTAATATTAAATGCATATGTTATATTGGTTAAATACACGAAAATGCTACATTTAGCTGCCTCTACTGAGCACTTGATGTCGCCACTATACTTTTAAAAGGGATCTTAATATTTTTATGTTTGTAGTCTTTATTTTTTTTTTTAATCAAACAAAGTAGCTTTCGTTTTTAATTTTGCAGTATTTCTAATAACATAATTTAATAGGAAATTGTTAATCTGGCGAAATAATAAAATGATACAATTAGTTATATTCGCTAGGTGAGGCTAAATGAATGGGTCCTGACTATTGATCCTTCTATTCTGCTTTTAAGACAAAAATATACAAAATTTTATGTTATAATGGTAATTTTAAACAATTTTCACCCTTTATAGCCTCGGTAATAGCAGGAACCTCAAATATTTTAGATAATACGTCAAATACTTACTATTTCCGTTTTTCCTGATAACTGTGAATACTGTTTTTGCGAATCAAGTATTTGTTGTACCAAATGACCATGTTGATTCAGTGATGTTTGTAATTGTTCTTGGTCTTCTTGTGCTATTTGAAGCGAATTTACTTCCTGGTCCACAATCATTATACTTGTATCTTCTTCCTAAAAATAATTATTTCATTACTATAATAGTGATACATAAATAGACTAGTTTTAATACATGTATTTACATAAAAAACAATAGGACAATATTGTCACATATTGTGACAATTTTTAGCAACTCTATTATCTACAATTTTCATTTTCATTTGAAAGTGGCTTGGCTTACAGAACACGGCAATGGTTTTTCCTGGTCATGTAATACTTACGTCTTCATTTGCTACGTTTTCTACGATTATGTTCACTTTGCCAACAAGAGTATTTTCTATTTCAGAGGGAATATTGTCAAACTTGTCTCTTAGTCGTGGTGCACCAGGCCTAGAAGAAGATGGTCTGACGCTTATAGGTCTAACGTTATTTTTTTGATTAGTTGGTATTATTTCTTCGGTCGATCCATGTTTTATTACATCTTCATCTTTGGTACCTGTTTTAATCTCAGTTACAGTATCTTTTACTACGATATCGTCATTTTTCTGCATATTGCCAGATATCAAGGGATCGCTAGTGACATCTAAGCTAGTGACATTTTCTTTTATTTTTAAATCGTTGTAATCAAGACTCAGTTCATCTGCATTTATGTTATAACTATTAATATTTCCTAAATCTCCATCATTCTTTTCACTTTCCTTTTCCATGAAATCTTGTGATGATGTGGACGAATTTAAGTTATCTGCTACCGTATACGAAGAATTAGGATTTTGTTCTCTTGATTCTGTCAAAATTATGGGATCTACATTTGTTATTGAGTTTCTTTCTAATTCATGATCTTTAGGTATTTTGGTAATGGTCTCGTCTTCATTTGGATGATTGACCTTTTTATTTTCAGAAATATCGATTAATTCTCCACTACTGTCCTTACTTTCGTGTGCCTTTTTCTCAACTGATGGTTTCTTAGAAATAAACTTTTCAGCAACTTTTTTGGGTGGGGATTCTGTAATATTGATACTTTTGTCTCTGGATTTTGATTTATTAGTATTTGGTTTATCGGTTTCGTTTTTTTTAGAAATTCGTACATTAGGCACTTTTTTAGATGTCAATTTTTCGTTACTCTTTGAAGTTAATTTATTTGTTTCGTTGATTTTTTTCGCCGGTTTTGCCAATTGTTTAGATTTTGTATCATCTGTTTTAATTGATAAATTAATACTTTCTTTGTACTTTTGTACTGCATCTGTAGAAGATAATTTTTTATCTAATGCTTGTGCCAAGTATTGAAGTAATTCGTTAGTTTTTTCTGGTTCTTGGCCTGCTACAATTTTCGATGATTTCACTGACAGTGACTTCCCTATCGTTAAACCTATAACGAAAGTGTATTTTATTTATTTAATATGGTCAACCAACTCCATAGGTATATGTTACATAATTCACTAGAATTAGTGTTAAGTCTTATGCAAGTATATACCTATTATAGGTTGAAATCATTGAACTCATTGAAATTTTATTGAAATTGATAAAATCAAAGAAACTTTAAAAAAATAATATACTTACCCACTACGGCAATAACTTTGTTTAAAAATAATATTTTGCTTTCTCTATCTTTTACGTTATCTGATATCAACTCTTCTTCTTCAAATAAACCGGCAAAGAATCCTGTAGTCTTCAAAACCTACGAATACATAAAAATAACTAATATTGGAACAGTCATTCGCAATTAACACAACCAACTAAAAAGTTACAATAATAGACCATAAAAAGTTCGCGATCTTTCACTTTTAAGCGCCGCATCATTTGAACAGTTTTTGCAGAATATGTACATAATATCTTTTGGGCTTTGTATCTCGGTGGCGTGGATAAGCGCCGCGGCCCGCGTTCGTTGTAGTTAAGCAACTTTCACAAAGGTCGGTCATGCGATGGGACGGGATGGGACCAAATTATTATTCTGTCGAGCTACTCCGTGCTTCGGAAGGCACGTAATGGTCCCGGCTACGTTTGCAGTCGTTAATATCCTCCAATCCACATTGGGCCAGCGTGGAGGGTCATGGCCCATCCTCCTAGACTATCCATAAGGAAGGCCTGAGCCCCTGCAGTGGGGACATTAAATAGCTGATGATGATGATGTAATATCTTTTACAAATCGCCATTAAGTATCAAAGTTAAATCTTTGAGGTACAATCATTCGAACGTAAACGTGCTATTTGCTTTATCCACATTAGAAGCAAAATTGCTTAAAATGCTTAATTTATTAAATATTCATTTTCAAACTTATATTAATGAATATAAAGTAACTACAGTAAGATCATTCCGATTTTTACCACTCGCCCTGGGTGCTGGCAAAATAAAAAAATGTTGATATCACTACCGTGACGTAGGAGTGTTAATAAGCTAATGATGATACAAGTATAAAATCGGTATTTTAAAATAAAGAGATGCAGTTCGACGAGTCTGCTAGATTTGCCGCCCCATAATTAATAGACGAAAATAAGTTCAAACACTAATACCCGACTGTAGCTAAACCACGCTCTGAAAAGTTTGAAATATTTAATTTATTATAATAGCGACGAGCAAAGGACAGCGTAGTCATATGCCACTGATCATAACAATACAAACTGTTGTGGCGTATATATACATATTTAGAATGTGCTAATTAAGCCCACGTAATGATGATTTTTTTTACTTTATGCTCTCTATAGGGCGCGGTTGCCAATTTAATAAACATCACATAGTTTATAGTACGCGGTCAACTAAGACGCTTCTAATGATAACTCATTTGTCCGGTTACGATAAGTAGTTTCGAAGTTATAAGGGAACGGATGAACATTTTTACATATGTATGTACATACCGGCCAAAATCATTCATAATCCGGTCGAGTAAAAAGCACAAATTGTCAGATATAGATGGAAAATCCAGTGATGCGTCCATGTGAGGTGAATGATGATAATTAAAAAAAAACGAAAGAGACCATAGAGCTAAATAAACTCGGATGTTGTGAATGCCATAACCCGTGCCGCTCCTCGTAGCCTGCAGCCCGGTGAGCAGAGCTCGAAACCTAGTTAATATCATTAATCAGCTTTTTTAGCGACAATCTGATCCATTAGGTACTAGCGTTGCTACATGTATCCTATAGGTATTTCCCAGAACGTCCCATGCGTTAAAATGCGTTGAGAACCGTTTTTAGTTACGAATAAATAATTATAAGAAAGGAGTACGACAAGGTAGCATACGTATACTCATTCTGTTCTAAATCTAGATAACTACATCACTAGACGGACTTACGAAAAACTATACGAGGAGGAAATAAGATCGCTAATCTTTCATACGCCGATTAACAACACTTTTGGCAGAAAACGAAACTGAAATGGTAAATTAATCGGACAGAATAGAGCACACGACACTGGACTGACATTCTGAGTAAAGCCAAGATAAACATTATGATAGGTCTACGGCCAGGCACTGAAAAGTTAACACCAATTTTGTCAAACTCCCAGAACTATTAGTAGTGAATGATTTATAGTGCTATACATATTTGGATGAAAGCGAAGAGGCACTGCAAAAGTAAATAATACCAAAAATAATTTCGCCAGATGACACCATATGGCTCGCAATGTAAAAAAAAACATATTTTATGTAGAGTCAATCTACCAACTACTTACTCTCCTATTTAGTCAAAACATGTGACTTGGCAGTTTTGCTACCATCACGTAGCAAAGCCGCCAACATTTTAATTTTATCAGTGACGTATCGGGATATTTTAGATATCAATAAAATCTTAAGTTTAAATAATTGGAGTTGGACAATTTTATTTTATTTATTTATTTAAAACTTTTTTGCACAAAAAAAGTAAAAATAAATACATTGCAAGGAACAAAAAATTAAATTAATTACAGTTGTGCAATAGGCGGCCTTATCGCTGAACAGCGATTTCTTCCAGGCAACCTTTTGATTGATACTGGTGGCAGGTGATTGTGGGTCGTGCACAAAGTTAGGGAAAACATACAACTAAATATATAAAATGAAAAAAATATAAAATAATATATACATATACATAAAAATAAAACTATTAATAAAATAAATATAGGTACCTATATGGGTAAAATACGAAGTAGCCAACATGAGCAGAAGATACCGCAAGCTATAAGAAGGAAGGATTAAGGATTACGATTTTAAGAATTACGCCCATCAGACAGAAAATGCGCTTTTACTCTAGATTAAAATGTGTAGAGCGACTGTGAGCGTCTGATATCTTCGGGTAAAGAATTCCACAATCAAATCGCGTGTAACGTAAACGATTGACTGTAGAATTTTGAAGTTTTGAGGAACCGAGAGGCGAAGACTGTCTGATGAACGAAGAGGTAGGTCATGAGTGGACGACAAAAACTTGAAACGTTGTTATAGATAAAAGGGGCATTTTGGATTGAACAACACAGAGTAAAGAAGGGACAGGATATGTAAATCTCTACGTTGCCGAATAGAGAGCCATTGGAGTTGTTGGCGAAATTGGGAGACATGATCGTATTTACATAATTTAATTATATATCCCGAGACTTCTTTATCCGATAAACCCTTGATAATCCAAAACGTAAGTGTCAAGTTAAGTGGATTCAAAAAACGACGGAGCGTTTTGAGTTATACTTACACATGTCACAATATCATGCAAAAAACGAAATGGAGGCTTTTTTAATAATTTTTCGCTTAGTGGCGGTCGTTTCACATATTTTCCTAGAGAGCTTTGAGTAGCTTTTATCACCGTTGGGTCCAACTCTTTTTCCATAGCACATATTTTTATTTTCACTCACTTTGACAATACGTTATCGTTTACAAAATTAGTTGAAAATAAAATGAAAAGGAATTTTTTAGAATAACTTGACAACTGTTTGTTTACATCTAGTTGCCGTCATGGAAACGACGAATCATTGATTTCAACTATGATATCAATGAAAAGGTGATTTATTTTATTACAGGGCTTTTATAGCCTAACCAAGGAACTTGAATACTAAAGCCTAATATAATTTGTTCCTAGTCCTAGTTCAAAAGGGAACTATTCGATCAACAAACACAGATTCGATTAACATCAACAAAAAAAGAAAAAGGTTCTGTGGCCTCATCTATGCCTAATCTATATTAAATAAAAGTTATAAATGAGAAAATATTGGAGAGGTAATGTTCAAATATAGTTACTGTTGAGAAAACTACATCATTGTAGAAAGATATTGATTTGTTCAAAACCATTACTCATTCACAGGATAAATTGATAAATATTGAGTCACTTTGTTGCCGAACAAGAGTTGGTAATAGGGTTGAAGATTAATTTTTTTTTGGTTATAGCTCAGGTACATTTTTGGAGAATATTATAACACTTAGGAACACTGGGTCTATAACCTTTTCCAACCGGGACAGAAAACAATATCAACTTTATGCCCCGGTTGGAAAAGGTTGTAAATCCAGGACTGGAGTTATTTATGAAATACCCCATTTGATTTTGTGTCGTTTTACTTAAATTATACATAGGTATATAGATACTTAAATTTTCTTAACACAACAAAATTTTAATATAATGTGTTTATTAGTCTATACTAAATATTGTTCGATAGTTAATTTTGGAGGCAATTTTGTAAAATAAAAATTATTTGAAGAAATAGTAAGTAAATAATACCTAAATATAACTCATGTTATATATGAGATTTCAAAACTGCCCTGCGATTCTCTAACAATCCAGACCCGAATTCGAATTCAGTCATGTGTCCGAATTCTAGTCATTTAGTAAAGAAATCCTATTGATTCCATTTTTTGTATAAAAATACTAAACAAAATTGATTGATTAAACGTGTCTTAGATATTTTAATCCTATATCATTTCGAAACTCACTTAACTTATTTCAAGAAATATTATTACCAATTCAAGTTAGAGCGGATGCCGCTTTTTGAAGTGAATTCGGACACCTGAGTGGATTCGTAATCGGGTTTGAAGTTTTACAGAATCGCAGGGCTGTTAGGTACTTCAATTCTATCGAATTCGAATAAGTACTTACCTTAAAATTAGTAAGATGATATAACACCCGGTTTCTGAATTGAGAATTTCAAAATGTAGTAACACGTTTTCGTTTTTAATTTTGGTTTTTTTAATGATCAGCTGATAGCAGTTTGCTAAAACTAGGATTTTTTTACTTATGAAACGCAAAAAAGCTTAAGTTATTGAGAATAACCAGTTGAAATTTTGTACTTTTCTCAATTCAGAAAGCGGCTGTATATCATCTTAGAAAACAAAAGATCTCCAATGGTTTCAAAATAGAAAAGAAGCTTTTTCTTTCGATATGTACACGTTCATCGATTTCTTCGCGAATTGTGAATCAATTTTAATCAAATACGTATTGGAAATATATATTATATCTTACAAATCACAAAACACAGAAGAGATTTCTGTGTTTTGTGCTTCAAATACGTATCGAAAAAAAAGGCAGTTATGAAAAAAATCGTTTATATATTTTAGATTTTATCAAAACCTTTCTTTTTATATAGTTAAGATCAAATATATTTATAAACAAATTTTTAAACCGTTTTGATTCTAAGGCTATGCTTATATTTGTTAAATAAAAATAATTTTATGCAAATTAAAAAAATATCCCAAAAATGACTCTTCGTTTTAGGATCTATTTTAATCATAAAGTCATCTTTGAGATATTTTTCTATCGAGCCCATTACTGAAACTCCATGTTTCTGTTTTTTGTAAACAATCGACCATTTATTTAATTTTCATTAAATGATTTTTATTTAACAAATATAAGCGTAAACCTTAGTATCAAATTGGTTTAAAAAGTGGTTTCATACAATCTCGCTTAACATAAATATTTAATGATTTAGTAGTAGTAGGTATTGATACTGGTAATGCCAACATATATTTATTAATATTAACAATTATAATAAGTATCTCCATTTTGTATTTCTCGCAGGTTGACATTAGTAGGTACCTTTCCTGTCTTCCTCCCTCTTTGGCACTACACAAAAATGAGAGAGAAAGAGCGAGACAGTACATATTTCCGCTGCAAATACTTATAGATATATAGAAAAAAAAATGTAAGTAGGTAATAATTAAATTGGTGTTTCCAAAAAATAGAACCGAGTTTATTTAATCTTTAAAAGAAGTGAGAGCCGAGTATAAAATTTATTATTTCTCATTTTATAAAGATAGAAGTCGGTTCTATTTTTGAAAAGAAAAATCACTTTATTTGCTTTCAATTTAAGACTTCAATATAACTACGGTTTGACATGTTATGGTAACCTGCGATCAAATTTAATCAAGATCTGCTCAAAAAAGAGTCAAATACTTGTAAATGGAGAAAATCTTTTTTAACATTTAAACGTATTTATTGTTAATACTGTGTGAACTGTGATGAAAAGTAGATTTTCTACGATAATCGGAAGCGCTCATCACAATTGAAAATTGACCCCAAAAAAGTTACTTGTGTTTCGTGGACTAATGCCGGTGTCGTTCATTACAGTTTTCTCATATCTGGCCAGACGATTACGGCAGACGTTTATTGTCAACAATTGCAAACCATGCTGGAAAAACTAGCTGTTAAACAACCGAGGTTGGTCAATAACTCTACGCCACTGCTACTTCACGACAACGCTAGACCACACACTGCGCAACAGACGGCTACCAAATTAGAAGGGCATCAATTGGAATGTCTAAGACATCCATCGTTCTCCCCGGACCTTGCTTGAACAGATTACCATTTTGCGATGGGGCAGTGCAAATCGCTTTCAAAGATTTTATTGATTCCCGTCCGAATGGTTTTTTTAGTAGGGGATCAATGAACTACCTATGAGATGGCAAAAGTGCATAGATAACAATGGTTTTTACTTTGATTAAATAAATATATTATATTATAAAATATTCAACTTCTTGTTCCTCCCACACCAAACACCAATTTCATATGTAAGAACCTAATATTAGGGGTTAACGTATGGAATTGCCGTTTTATTGTAATAGATTCCATGAATTGATATAGAATCTTCATGGTTTGAGGTTTTCGAAATAAACTTTTTTCAAGTGGTTTCTGTGATGTTCTTCTTTTAAAAATATGAAACATTTGAATATCGACTTTCAATTGTTTTTGTTATTCAACTTGGACAAGAAAGATGGATACTGTGAAAATCCGACGCTACTTACGCGGCAGAAACAGCCCGAAATATCAATGTTGCGTTTGGAGAGGATTCTGCTAATGAACGCACAATGCAATTTTGGTTTAAACGCTTTCGTGATGGAAACTACGACTTGAAGAACGAGCCCATACAGGTGAGTAACGATGAATTAAGAGAGGTGGTGGAAGCCGATCCTAGTCAAACTACCCAGGAATTAGCGACAAGTTTAAGTTACCTTACTCATAATATTGACTCATTTGCGTCAATCTATAAAATATAAAAATACGAAAAATGGGTGCCTCATGATTTGACTGATCTGCAGAAAGAAACAAGTGTTAAAACTTGTGTTGCCTTATTGAATCGGTACAGAAATGAAGGAATATTGGATTGAGTTGTGACATGTGATGAAAAGTAGATTCTTTATGTAGTTATCATAATAACCGTAAAAAAATGCAAAGGCTGAACCCAGGACAAACGCCACAACAGTATCTTAAAGCAAAAAGTTTATGGTAAGTGTTTGGTGGTCTCGGCATGGTGTTAGTCACTAGTTTTCTCCGATCTGGTCAAGCAATAACAGCTGATGTCTATTGTGCCGAACTCCGAACAATGTTGGCAAAACTAGCAGTAAAACAGCCCCGACTCATGAATCGATCTTCACCATTATTTCTCCATGACAACGCTAGACCTCATACAGCACGAGAAACCGTTTTGACCACTCAGGAACTGCAGTTAGAAACCATTCGTCATCATCCGTATTCGCCAGATCTTGCTCTAACGGACTACCATTTTTTTCGTGATTTGGACAAGAAGTTTTCTTCTTTCTAGATCCTCAGAGTTCTATCGCAAAGGCATAAATGACCTTCCTATTACATGGCAGTAATGTTTAGACAACAACGGTAACTATTTTGATTAAATAAATTTGTTAAAAATTAAAAAATAGACAATTTTGATTTTCAGTACAAATCGACAATTTCATAATTTAACCCCTATTATTAAAAAAAACGATAATTATGCATTAATTGATTCTTATATAATAATTTGATAGAAAATTAAACCACTTAATATTAATGTTAAATAATACTTATCTTTTCAGTTATGTAAAGTTAATCATCTCCTCAATTTTATTTACGACTAAGGAATAAATAGACATAATGAAATATGTAATGGACGCGTGGCTTGTGTTTCGGCTTGGCTGGGCAGAAATAAAACTGTCATTATGTCTCATTTTGGTGTAGCCCTTGTCCGAAATTTTATTAGTTACAAATGTGGATGAATTTTTATTTTGGCTATCCATCCCTGATCTAGTCATAAGATAAATTATTGATGGCATGGATTTTAACTACTAGTGGACATTTTTTTGATTGGTTGACATGATTAAAGGTTTGAGACCCATCTCTGGCACCCGAGTTTGGTAATTTTTTTAAGCATTATCAAATATTTTTATAGTTGGTAGATAAATTTTGAATAAGTGAGATGAAGAAAATTCTGTTAAAAAATGTATGGACCTTTGAAACAGAAAGTAATTCAGATTTATTATTTCTATGGTACTTTTTGACAGTATATTTATACTGGTCTACTATTGTTTTTTTTTTAGTTGAAAGGTGGTATTCTATACTATTGTACAATAATATTATACACCTTTCTTCAATCCTTTTTTTCAAAGATTTCTTTAAAAAAATCTTCTAACATTGTGCAACTATAGACCACAACATATTAAGTTGCATTTACAAGTGCCTATGCACAGTGCAAGCAAAAATATTGCACAATAAAAATCAAAAATGTGACACAACATGAGTTACAGTTACAATTATGAATTACAAAATAGCCCAAAGGATAAAATGAAGAAGTAAATGACAACAAATTACATAAATTTTACAGAGATCAAATTCATCAATATAATAAAAAGGCATAACTTATTTTAAATTAACTAAATACAGTGTTATTCATTTACTACAAATTATATGTAGATATCAACTTGACAATATTAGAATAGATATTTTTGTAGGTGTAAACCTAATTAAAATTACATCATAAAAATAAATATGCAACCATTTAACATAATCTACTTTTATGACAAATATATAAAAGTCTTGCTGAAAAATATATTTCAATGTAAAATAGTCGCTTATGTTAATATTCATCAAACAAGTACAATTAACTGGTTAATTGGTAATTATTGTTGAATCTAGCTCGCCTTTGACCCTTCAGCAAATTTGCAGCTTGTTCAATTCTCATCACTAATCGATGTTGATTCTCCAGTCTCTCTAAGCAATTTTTACAAATGGTTTTAGGAAGAGGATCTGAACGAGAAACCTGTAAAATAGTCATAATAAGGTAGAATATCAAAATGGATAACAAGAATATTTTTGTGGCATTAGAAACATTTCTAAGAATAAATAAACAAATTCATCAAATTGTTACATAAATTCTTAGTAAATACTAACGTTTATCGAAAGATATCTATTGATTTTCTCAGATATACATAAACGTATACCCTCTTCACCATAGATATGGATAACAACACGGTGCATTTCTGAGCACAATCTGCAAATAAATCCGGTAAGTACACCTCTATCTAAACTACCCATGATATTTTTATAAGGTTTCTGTAGATTAACAAAAATTTAAAGGCGAATAAAAACAAAAATCCTTCACTTATGGTAAGACAAACCAGACAAAACAAAAAATTCTTTGTTTTCAACTTGACAGATGATATTGACATTGACAACTACCATAGACTTAAACCATAGAGTCATCATCACAGAACAATAATTGGTCATCAAAGAATGTTAGATTTATATAGTCTCACAATAGAAGTGCCTCGGATCACGTTTTCGCTTTTATTATAAAGAAATAAGAGTTATACACCGGGGCTTTTTTTCGTGAGACAGACTTTACACTTGCCTAGCGTAGCGCTCCACCCTGTATCGCGATTTTAGTGACTTTAAATATACCGCGTGTTACAAAAAAACACGTTATCCCTAAAACAGCAAAGAGAATATGTAAAACTGAAATAATGGCCTCTGTCTCTAATATTGTAGCCATTGTATTTATTGAAAATATACAATATCAAAGTTTTGCGAATTTTTCGATAGGATTCTTTGCCGAACCGGTAAACTGATAAGTGTCAGCTGTTACGAGCTCCTACTCAAATTATCTTAAAAGTGCATATTCTGTGTTTTTTCTATCACAGTTTTATTCTTAACATCATATAAAGACATATTACTATCGTCGCGTGCATATAAGTGAAATTGTCTGGTGTTATTATCTAAACCATCGATGCGACTTTGTAACATCTTCGAGTGACATCTACCTACTACAATTTTATGCAAGAAGCCCCTGCAGGGGAATTCGACGTCTAAGCCCGTTGCATGTGTACAGTGTTAAGTGCGACATTTGCGTGCGTTGTACGTCCACACACTCATCGCTCCGTGTATTTGTCATCGGGCAAAGATCAAGCATCGTAGATACGCCATCCGTATTGATGTTACAGGGAAGTAATAACTACTCAGCAAATTATTTTGAACACGAATATTTTATAATTTCTTTATCAACAATGAATTGTATAGCATGTAAGAACAAGGTAAGCCGCAGTGAAGTTTTGGTTTGTATTGGTTGCAAGGGACACTACCATTACAAGTGCCTAAATATGAATCAGCAAACCTATGCAGTCGTCAAGGTTAATTGGTTGTGTCCGAATTGCACAAGTGTATCGAGGCGCCCCAAGGGAGACGAAACACCCACCCGACGGCAGTTCGAACAGCCACAAATGGATGCCGATATGTCCTGCGATGAGCTGAATACTCAACTTTTGGTGTGCTCAACCAGTCCCTTGCCCGTTACCGAACCTAGCATATCGGAGGTCCTTAAAGAAATAAGAGCGTTTCGAAGCGACTTCTCTTCAATGAATTCGAGCATCCAGGCCGTGACTACCGCAATACAAGAATTGAATAAGAAGTTCAGCGAAATGGAAACCCGATTTAGTAGTATCGAGGACAGAATAACTGAAACGGAGAGAAAAGCCTCTATTATACCGCAGATGAAGGTGGAGCTGGATCTCGCGAAACAAAAAATTACAACACTCGAACTAGAGAATCATAAACGAGATCAATATGCCCGTATGAACAATATAGAGATTTCTGGTATCCCTATCGGAGCCGGCGAGAACCTCCAAACCTTATTACATGTCATCAGCAATAAGGTCGGATATGCGCTAGATGATCGAGATATAGACGGCATTGTACGTGTTAAACGTTTCGAAGCTGGTGAAGTGTCTTCATCCGCCGAGTCAAGTGGTCCGCGTCCTCCTGCAATCGTTGTAAAATTTACACGCCGTCTCGCTAAAGACAAATTATTGGCTGCTGTGCGCTCGCGACGAGGTCTCACCACCACCGATATTAACCTTTCAGGCCCTAAACAAAATATTTATGTGTCTGATCACCTAACCCCTCAAAATAAGCTTTTATTAAAACGAGCCCGACAACTAAAGACAAGTCTAGGATACTCTTATCTATGGATAAGAGACTGTAAAATTTTAATGCGAAAGAATGAGAGATCCAAGGTCGAGATAATAAGTAATGAGTCTTGTCTATCAAAATTGAAATGACTAAATTGTTACAAAAAATGCTTTAATTCATATTTGACCCGTCTCTTTTACGTAGCCTTTACAAACTTCTATTATAAACAACAGGTTGTTCAAAGTCTAAACATTGCGACGTCAGATGTGGCGAACTTGTTTATACAAAATCTTCAGTATCTCTCAAATTATTTGATTATTTGCTGCTTTTCGCGATATGTATCTCTCTCAAACTTTAAAATCAAAGCGAATAACACTATATCATTACAATATTGTATGTATAATTTGTTTAACTCACATTAATGGGGCCTACAAAAAAAACATTATTATGCTATTACCAGAACGTAAGGGGCTTGCGAACAAAATCGCACGATTTTCTGTCACAGTTGACTGCATCTGACTACGATTTGGTATGTTTAACGGAAAGCTGGCTAACTCCTGATTTCTATGACGGAGAATATTTCGATAGCAGGTATGCCGTATTTAGGTGTGACCGCTCGCAAGTTGAGAGCGGCGCTAGGCGCGGTGGCGGCGTCGCAGTCGCGGTGCGCACTAACCTAAGACCGCTGCGCAGAGACTGGCAAATCCCGCCGCGCGCCTTCTCTGACTGTGTATGGGTATCTATACCGTTGAATGCAAATAGTAGCAAACACATAAACATTGCGTGTGTTTACATACCGCACGGTCCCGGTTATCGCGATGCGTTGGAATCGTTTTTCACTTTATCAAGTGAAATCTTGAATGACCGTCCAAACGATGATTATTTGTTAATTGGCGATTTTAATATTTCAAATGCGGTATGGAAGGACAGTCATACTCACTGTAAAATGCTTCAAAACGGTGGTGACATACCGGTCGGAATGCTGAGAGACTTTTTGGCTTATACAGGTGTACAGCAATACAATGGAATTTCAAATGCTAGCGATCGAATCCTGGACTTGGTGTTGAGTAACGTTGAGTGCAGTGTCGTCAGTTGTGTCCGTCCTTTGACTCAGGAAGATTCACATCACAAATCTATAGAATTTAGTATTGATATCAATGACTTCACTAGGTTAAGGTCAACGGCAATTCATAGTTACAATTTCTTTAAGGCAGATTATCAGTCAATTAATTACGAGCTCAATAAAATAAATTGGAAACAATTTTTTGACAAATTAAACACACAAGAATGTGTTACTAAGTTTTACTCACTATTAAACAATTTAATAACTAAATATGTCCCTTATAAAATGATCAAATCTAATGCAGCTTGTCCCATATGGTTCACTAAACCACTTAAAAAGCTATTAAATGAAAAAAGAAAATACTTTAAGCTATGGAAACTGTACGGAAATCCATTAGATTATCAAACTTTTCAATTATTAAGAAAAAGAGCGAAGCATATGGAGAATGAGTGCTATAAAAATTATGTAAACTATTCAGAAAATAAAATTAGATCTTTTCCGAAATATTTTTGGACCTTTGTAAAGGCTATTAAACGCAAAAATACAATACCAGACTTTATGAATTATAAGGGACGGAGCAGTAATAATGGTAGGGAGATTTGTGATTTGTTTAGTGAACATTTTCACTCTGTTTTTGTTAGTGGCGGGGATGAGATTGTCTCGACAGAATTTACGAACTCACCATTGAGTGCATTATTTGACATTGCCACCATAGACTTATCTTTCACTTCACTAAATAAATATCTGAAAAATATTAATATTAACAAGGGAGCCGGCCCGGATAGCATTCATCCACTACTCATTCAAAAGTGTGCCGACACATTGACTGATCCCTTATTGTATATCTTCAATCTGTCTTTCAGTACCGGTGTCGTACCACATGAATGGAAACGCGCACTGATAACACCAATACCTAAAGGTTCCGTTAGTAATGATGTGGTCGACTACCGACCCATTTCAAAGCTGTGTCAATTTGGAAAAATACAAGAAAAAATTGTCACTGACCAGCTACTTGATACTGTCAAACGTATGATTGCACCAACACAGCATGGTTTTTGTAAGAAGCGTGGTGTAGAGAGCAATCTGCTGAGCTTTACGGAAATCTTATTGGAGGCAATGGATGGTAATGCTCAAGTTGATGTTATTTATACAGACTTTGCTAAATGTTTCGATAAAATCTGCCATAATACTCTACTAACTAAACTTTGGCAGCTTGGAATTCACGGAGATTTGTTCCGCTGGATAAAATCGTACATACTAAATCGTAGTCAGGCTGTAGTTTTGCCAGGTTATACTTCTACATACAAGGACGTAACATCGGGAGTTCCGCAAGGCTCACATTTGGGCCCATTACTATTTCTTTTATATGTTAATGACATCACAAAACTCATGAAGGATTCCCATATACTCCTTTATGCTGATGATACCAAAATTTTTAGAGTAATACGAGAAGCACAAGATTCTGTACTACTACAGAATGACCTTAATAAATTCGAAATTTTTTGTAATACAAATAACCTGTTTCTGAATGCTGATAAGTGTCATATAATTACATTTACTAGAAAAAAACAGCCAATAAAATTCTCGTATAAATTGTGCGGAAAGATTCTTGATCGTGTTACAGAAGTGAGGGATCTGGGAGTGGTAATGGACTCCAAACTGACATTTGTACCACACATTGATAGAGTTGTAAATAAATCTTTTAAATTATTAGGCTTTATCTTGCGTATGGGTAAACCTTTTCAAAATTCTTCCACATATAAGTTACTATTTAACAGTTATGTACGTAGCAGACTTGAATTCGCAAGCCCTGTCTGGAATCCCCGTCAACGCATACATCAGGATAAAATCGAAAGGGTGCAACGGAAATTTATTAAATCATTAGACTACAGAACAAATAATCAACACATAAACTATGAGACCTCTCTCGTCTTTCATAATATAATGTCTTTGAAGCAGCGTAGAGATCTCATAGATATAAACTATTTGTATAAACTCTTACATGATATGGTCGATGCACCTTTTCTTCTGGAAAAATTATCTTTTCGGGTACCCAGGAAACAGGAGAGAGCAAATCGTAAAAAGGCATTATTCGCTTACAAAGCAAGTAAAACTAACTATGGAAGTAACAATTACATAAAAAGAGCTTGTACTCTATACGATGATACATTCAGTGAAATTGATATTTTTGAGACATCCATAGTTAAATTCAAGCGCCACATCGTAGATCGCTTGAAATGTTTGGACGTGTAGAATAGACCAATTACTAAATTCATTCATATGTTTTGTTTTTGTTTACCGGTCCGTAATGTCAAGTCAAGTACATATGTATGGAACTATAGGTTTATATGTTGTTATGTTTATTTTGCTCATATATGTTTTGTTGTAACTGTTTGTTCCTGAATAAATTAAAAAAAAAAAAAAAAAAAAAAAAAAAAAAAAAAAGGATTTATCGAAGTGAACCCACGTTACGATCAGCTGTTTTAGTTCATTGACTTCTAAATCAAAGACTGTTATTTTTCAAACTGTTTACATCTATCGGTATTATTATACTTACTCATTGCGTATTTTAGTAAATGTCTGGAGCGGGTTTTCATAATCGGCGATATAAAATCGATTTCGATTAACCCGAACATTTTCTAATAAAAATTTTACACTAATTTATATTTCTGTTAAAAGATAATTTAACATAAATATAAATCATAATTCATTTCATAAAAATGTTAGTTCAAACGTACCAAATTTAAATCCTTTTTTTTATTTTTCTAAGTGAATCGACATGTATTTATAACACTGTCACGTGTAGTCTGTTCAAATATTTCACAGATCTAAATGTCCCTTTTTTGCATCAATTGTTAATATTAATTTTAAAGGTATATTTTAGCCCAATTACTTATTTAAAATAAGCTTTTAAATATTGTCAACTCATGGGTTAGGATGGAAGTAGGTTCAATGGAATATTCATGTTCTATTAAAATTAAATTTGATTAAAAAATATATTATCTTCTTGATTTCCAACTAATATATAACATTTTCTGTCAATGGCCTAGCAAAAACAGATTTACAGTGATGTACTATTGAATTATTTAGTGAAGTCTTATAAAGGTATTGGATTATAATTTCCAAAATACCTAAACCAGAACATTGACTAACACTACTCATATAATTCTGGTGAAGACCATAGCCCCCAAATATGTTTTACACAACACAAAATCGATGTTAAAATATGAATTTTTAAAATCGTCATATCGGATATTATCAACATTGATGATTATAGGTTAAACATGGTAACCTATCTTAATTTCGAAACTTTAATGTTCGAATTTCAAAACTTCGAAGGCCAATAAGCCGAAGCTGCGGTGTCGAGCGAAAATCATCTGCGACGATAAACTCGCGTGGGACCGCCGGAGCCTCGCAGCGCTGGAGCCGTGACAGAAACAATGCATGTTGTATGCTTGAATGCCTGCTTGCATGCATGCTTGAATGCCTGCTTGCATGCCTGCATGCATGTCTGCATGCACGCATGCTTGCTTGCATGCATTTCAACACATTGAAAAATTAGATTGTTAATATTTTTCGGTTAGGCGTTAGCGTGTATGTAAACTTGATGTATTATAAGTATTAGTTATTTATACTTGTTTGTCTTTTTATAATATAGAAAACAATTTTCTGGAAACCAAATCGCCTAAGATATGTTTATTTATCAAAGGTTGAGTAAGATTTAAAAACGTATTGATTTAAAAAATATATTTGAAAATCGGATTATCAGCTATATGTCAACTGTTTTTTCGGTGAAATGAAAATATGGAAAACAAAAATGTGGCAAAACGTTTTCGATTTAACGAAATTCGCACTGAAAAACTTCGATATTAAAATAGGTAACCGTTAAACATCCATACGTAGTATGAGCGAGCATCTCCCAACGAGCAAGCATACCTACTAAGTCTGTGGCATACCTGCCTACATTACTCCTCTATGGTGAATCGAAGAAAAATATTTTGTACAACAGACAATGGCTGTATGGGCTAAGCTCTCTTCGCCTTTCCGTTAAGGAAAAATCTACCAAAAAAAAACCTCTAAAAAAAATCTCCTTCGCCTGTCCCATGGACGAATTATAATACTACTACCTCTATGGTGAGAGTGTTGTTTTCGTTATATCTTTCGTTCGTAAACTTGGCGTTTACCTGATCATTATTATTTATTTAAAATACAATTTATGTGATCACTTATCTCTTTTAATAATAGATACACTTTGATTTTCTCAAGATGCCCCAATCAGATTCTAGACCAAGAGTTATGTTGGAAGAATTTCGTGTAAAGGTAACCTGACTGAACTTGATTATTATCGCATTTATAGACTTTATGCTATTTTGTTGAGTTTATTTGAATTTAAGGTTATATAAAGTTATGCTATTTCTAATTTGTGAAATTATTATGACTTTTATAAATAATATTTTGCTTCTACAGAATGCTCCAGACGACTATGGCATGGCCGACGAAAAATGGAATTTTAAAAAATTTACTAAGAATTTTCGTATTGTAATAGTACGATTAGATAGTTTTGAAATGGAATTTGATTTAATTGGCATTCAGCCTGCCTTTGCTAACGCATTTAGAAGACTTATGCTCAGTGAAGTGCCAAGCATGGCTATTGAAAAAGTAATGATTAAAAACAATACATCTATTATCCAAGATGAAGTTTTGGCTCATCGTTTAGGTTTAATTCCTTTGAAAGCTGATCCCAGATTATTCGAATATAAACCTGAAGGTTAGTTGTTATCAGTATACTACAAAGCATGCTAATCAAAGATTGACCAATATAAACAATAGCTTAAATAACTGATGTGTTGTCACCACATTTAATGGTGTATACTCTTCGATGGGGCAGAAAGCCGTTATGGTTATGCTGACACTTTCATCCTATACACAATACCAGTATAGATACACAATACTGAATTATTTCAACTGCTATTATTTTTACTTTTTTATTGTAGTTTTTTAACTATTTACAAAGTAATTCCCTGTAATCATTGCTTTTGCTTCTCACTGTTTTCTTTGCTCTTCACTTTAATGGGGATTACAGACTACACAATAAAACAACATGTTTCCTAAGCAATGTTAATTCACCTTTGTTTATAAACTGTTTATTGAAATGAAGAAAGAATACATATTGAAAATTGTTTTTAAACTTTATAAAAAACGGTGTTTGTTACAATTTCCCAATATAGATTGTGAACAAAAGTAATCCTATTAATATAATATATGTGAAAGTTTATTTTATTTGGATGGTTGTCTGTCAATCACACTTAAACTACAGCACGGATTTTGTTGGAATTTAAGGCTGACAGAGATACCAGGATACTTTTTATTCCCCTAAACATTTCCTCAGGAACCACACAGGAGTAGCCTCTAGTGAAAGCTAGTAATGTATATAAAATGAGAAAATTAACATTTACACTTGAAGTAATGGCATGGTTATTTGCATTTTAATCCCTTTAATGAGGATATTGCTCATGTTATTGGATGCACAAGCACACTATAATTTTGTCCTCATAAATGTGCCAAAGATTTATTAACATATTAAATTTACGATGTTTTATTTTCAGATGCAACAGATGGTTCAGAATGTAACAGTTTGGAATTTTCTCTAAAAGTTAAATGTTCATATAACAAATTGCAATCCAAGGAATCCTATCGTCCAGAAGATTTGTATGAAAATAACAATGGTAAAATTATTGAGACTTTTTATTCCTATCTTTTTGTATACTTTAATGTTATACCATAAACTTAACCATGAATTAATCATTAATATCTTACTGACCACCATTCAATTCCAATAATTATTATAATATAATTTTATTTCAGTTTACTCCTCACAAATCAAATGGCATCCAATAGGCAACCAAGCATCAGTGCACAAAGAAGCAGATGTGAGTCCTGTCCATGGAGATATACTAATATCAAAATTGAGACCTGGGCATGAGTTAGATTTACATATGGTAGCTGTAAAAGGAATCGGCAAAGATCATGCCAAGTTTTCACCTGTCGGTTAGTATAATGTTATGTGCAACTAATAATCATGACTGACTAACTTGAGAAATTTATCTATGAATATTAATTTCAGCGACAGCATCATATAGGTTGCTGCCTGAGATTCATTTGACACGTGAGGTGAACGGAGTGGAAGCGACGTTGCTGCAGAGTTGCTTTTCGCCGGGTGTTATTGCCATTGATGCTGATGGCCGAGCGCGCGTCAACGATGCACGCTACGATACTTGTAGCAGAAATGTTTATAGATATGAAGAAATAAAAGATGCAGTTGTTCTCAGCAGAATACGTGACCATTTTATATGTATGTGTTATATTTTATGAGGTTTCTTCGTTTTTTAATGACTATACTAGATCAATGTTTTGCATAGGTAAAAGAATATTATAATTAAATTGCATTTCTTTTTTCAGTTAATGTGGAATCAGTTGGAGCTTTGGCACCTAATATAATTTTTGTTGAAGCTGTTAAAGTTTTAAGAGATAAATGTAAATCATTATTAGATGAATTAAATACTTTGTAAGTTACTATTGCAGTTTATTATCCTTGAACCCTCTATAATTATAAGAAAAAAGAACTAATACCTTTGTAAAATAGTCGTACGTTTTCTTTTTAAAGTTGTAAATAGAAAGCACTTATTTATAGAAAACAATTATTTTTTTCTGAAAAGTTTCACCAAGCAGCACTGATTTTCGAACAAAAGTGAATACAAAAATTATAAAAGGATAATTTCAGTTATTATGAAGTGGGTTATTATTTGTTACGAAATCACGTTTAGATATTCTCACAGTGAAAAAAATCCCACTATGTATTTTATCATAAGAAAGTTCTGGGTCAAGGGAGGAGACAAATGACAACATCTTTTGATATTGCTTAAAAACATCTATAAAAACAGTACTGATCTTAGGAACAAGTTGAAATTGTTTTAAAAAAATCATAATAACTAATATTGTGTTCTTATGAAAGAAGATTTTATTTTCCGTCAGCGATATTGTAAAAATGAGTCTTATTAAGCTTAATATTGAATGTGCATGGTTATATCATATTACACTATGCCAGCAAAAGAAATAAATATTCCTAAAATCATAGGTAATTTATGTCAAAGTGCGGTTAATTTGTTTAACTTTCCTTGTGGAACCGTCTAGTAAGATAAAAAGTAACTTGTATGTTAATTCAGGATTTAATTCATCAAAATCCATTTATTACTTAATTTTTGCAAACTGTGTATGAATACGTATCAAGAAAGGGAGATACGACAACGACGTTAAAAGGCCATTTGAAGTATCTCTATGCCACTGAATATAAAGAATTAATAGAGTTAAGAAACTGAAAAAAATACTGTACAGCCTTAAACTTCGACGCCCCTTCAGGATGCTAAAAACAAATTACTTTAAAAGAAACTGCTGAAGAATACAAAATGTTGCACTTCTCGTGCTGATCTATGGATATTGACAAATTGATTTCTGAAATGTTTGCATTGCAAGATCTACCCGTCAATTTTGTGGAAGGTATAGGATTTCGGCGACTTATGCAGCTCACTGTGCCGAATTATCACTTAAGTGGAAGAAATTTTTTACTGAAAATATTTGTGGTCATTTATATGAAACATTAGCAAAAAAAAATTTCACTTTGATGGAAGACTCAGGAGACCTAGTTCTAGGAAAAATTAAGAGTATATTGATGGAATGGGGCATCATAAAAGAGACTATTCATTGTTTTGTACGCGACTGGATCTAATATGAAACGAGCAATGAAACTCGGCGACATACCTGATGTCAGTTGCACTGTATGTACATCAGTTTCAACTGTGTGTGCAAACATTGTTATATTGTGATGGAGAAATTAAAGCCTTATTATCGTAATGCAATAAAAAATTCGACGCATTTTAATCATTCCCATATAGCTCAGACTGAACTGCATAAAATACAAAAGGAACAACTTTCAGAAACCTTAAGGTTTTAAAATGTTGGCTAATCCCTTCAAACGTTTCGGCAGTACAGCTTTTTAATTTTGTCAGACTATGATGTATTCATAATTCTCAAAATACGTAATCTGGGATTGACATCCATTGTGAATGCTAGTGGCTTTCTTGTAGTTTTGCCGTTTTCTGTGATTAAGTTGTTATTGTTTTATTTTTGTTTTGTTGTTAAGTTTTGTTAAATATGTACTGCACAGGCCCGAATGGCCTACAACAATTACGCTCTTAGCCCCCATAAATAAATAAAATAAAATAAAAAAGCCTTTTATTCCATGCACATAATATATCAGTCTAGATTTGCAACAATCCTATTCATATCGATAACATTCAGATTAATTGCAATAGCAAATAGATAACAACCTCATTACATTATTAGTCCAAACCTCATTTTAATTCTTTATTAATTAATTCAATCAATACCAATAAACATTAATTCATTACAACAATCTAAAATGTGTATATACAAAAATAAAATTTAATAAATAATATCCAAATTTCATAAAATAATACTTATAATTCTAATTTGCATGGACCCCTCTCAGGTAAAGGCCTCCTCCAAGGATTTCCATTTTTCTCTATTTTTTGCTACCTGTAGCCAGTTTATTCCTGCGATCTTTCTTATATCATCCTCCCATCTCATGTAGGGTCTCCCTACCCGGCGTTTGCCTGGCGGGCCCTTCCATGTGGTTACATTTATGGTCCACCTGTTGTCCAGGTATCGGGCTATATGACCGGCCCATCTGAATTTTTGTGTTTGGGCATAAGCCAGCGCGTCTATCACTTTGGTGTTTTTTCTTATTTCTGAGTGTCGTATTTTGTGCATTTTTTTTTATGTTTAGCATACTACGTTCCATTCCTTTCTGGCACGAACTGATTTTGTTTTTCATTTTATTTGTAAATTTCCACGTCTGACAGGCATATGTTAGAGAGGGCAGAATGCACGAGTCCATGGTTTTCTTTTTGAGCTTTATTGACATATTGCTTTTAAATACTTCCTTTAGGCTCCAATATTTATTCCAAGCATGTTTGATTCTGCGCTCTATCTCCAATCCATTGCTGTTGTTTTTAAAACTTATTTGTTTTCCAAGATAGATGTACTGATCTACGTACTCCAGCCGCTCATTCTCCAACATAATACGCTTCTTAATGCTGTTTGTCATGGGTTTTGTCTTTGACAAGTTCATCTCTAGTCCCACTCTTTTACTGCTTTCATGGAGTGTCTCTAACATGTACTGCAGGCCCCAGCTAGTTTCTGACAATAACACTATATCGTCTGCAAATCTTAGATGGCTCAAGTATCTACCATTAATATTTAAACCATATTTCTTCCAATCCAGATTCTTTACGATAGTTTCCAGCACTGCTATAAAAAGTTTTGGTGACAACGGGTCGCCCTGTTTCACTCCTCTCTTTATAGGAAAGCTCTGGCCAGTTATTTCCAATTTTACTTTACTAGTGCTGTTACTATAAATGTTTCTTATGACTTCTATGTATTTGTTCTCTACTTTTTGAGTTTTTAGGGCTTCCCAGATACTTGTGTGAGATATTGTATCAAATGCTTTTTGGTAGTCGACAAAGACGATGTAGAGTGGTGTTTGCTTTTCCATGTACTTTTCAATAATTAGTTCTAAGGAATGAATGTGATCTATCGTGGAAAATCCTTTGCGAAAACCTGCTTGTTCTACGGGTTGATATTTATCTATTGTTTCGCTTATTCTGTTGTTTATGATTGAAGAAAATAATTTATATAGAGTCGGTAATAGGCTAATGGGTCTATAGTTACCAATGTCATGGGGATCTCCTTTTTTATAGAGCAAGATAATGTTTGATTCGGACCATTGTATTGGTATAGTCGCCGTCTCTAGGATGAGATTAAATAGGTGCGTCAGTGGCGTGGCCAATAGAGCCGCTCCGTACCTGATAGCCTCATTTGTGACTTTATCTGGGCCTGGGCTTTTATCCGATTTTAATCTTTTTATGGCTTGAAGAATTTCTGATTCGTCAATGGGTTGAATTTTTTCTTCAAAATCCGTCTGCAATGTCTCTGCATTGTGCTCTGTGTTCTCGCTGTTTAGAAGGTGTTCATCTGATTTGGCGCTGTACAAGTCTTGATAAAAATTTGTTGCAATATTGACGATGTCTTTGCGTTTGTATGATGTTTTCCCCAGCTGGTTCAAACCCTCGATCCAGGCTCTATTTGTTCGAAGTTCCTTAGAGGCTTTTTTTAGACTCCCGTCCTGCTCGAGATGTTTTTCTAAAGTAGCAGCTCTGTGGGTTTTGTAATCAAATTTGATATATTTACTTGTTAGCTTATATAGAGCGCTGAGTTCGTTTCTTTGGGTGTGGGTTTTATTTGTAGTTTTCTGGAGTAATTTTCTTCTCATTATAAGTGATAGTGTTTTTTCTGATAAAATTTTATGTTTAATATTGGATCGGTTGGTTGAATTTTTGGTTTCCAGGCTTTGCATTATAGCACTTATCAGTGAATCATAATATCTTTGGACAGTATTTGTTTCATTCCAGTTTAACAGATAATTTTCAAGACAATTTTTGTATTCTGTTATGTCTTCGTCACTTTTAAGAGTACTTATTTGCTTGCTTGTATATGCCACTCTACTTTTATGAGGTTTTGATAGGGTAATTGTGCTTCTGACTAGTCTGTGGTCTGATGGAAAATTTAAATTTAATGTTTCTATATTTTGAAATAATTTTGGTTGGTTAGTTGTTATGCCTTAGCCCCCATACCTACCCTCAATCTTTGACATTTCAGGAAGTTTTTCCAATGTCTTCATCAATGGTCTACTGTTTGCATAAATGTTATAAAAGTGATAATAAAAATTTCATTTTATTTACCTTTCTTTCCTAGGCATAGATATAACCAAATTCTATTCTAATCATATATACTTACAATTAGAATTTATCAAAACAACAGATAGATAGTTTTAGTTTCATATTGGCTTGGGAGTAAAAGATGAATCAAGAAAATGCTAGCCTTATCTCAACCCCGAAGTATCGTAAAAATGGAAAATTGCCCAGCTCTTTCAGACTAGCTAATGTTCAAAATTTCAACAAAACTATAATATTACATATTTTTTAAATTCATCTTGAAAATAAAATGTTCTGCACTGCTGTTTCTATGACCCTCTTTTTTCTTATGTTATAATGAATGGAGTATAGTTGGAGGGAAGACGTATGATATGAGTAGCCTGAACATAACATGAACATTAATAGTGGCGTGGTCAATTGGCCTGGCTTAAAATAGTCTCATTTAAATTCAGTGTTTACGTTGTATGTTAATAAAGTTCAAAGTTAACAAAAATGGTTAACTTGATTTCTAACACTACTTATTCAAAAACAAGAGAAGAAAAATATTTTTGCTAAAAAAGAAACTCAAACCGCGGTTCATTCTCAGAATTGCTAAAACTTGCAGATTTTGGATACGTAATGCTAAAATAGTTGTTTATTTTTATTGTTATTATATTTAACGTTGTTTATTATACTCAACTAGGAAATCGCCTAAGCAGATTAGTTCAATTCCAAATAAATA